TGAGAATATGATCTCTGAGGATGACATGTTTGAAACGACCGAGTTGGATGATTATTTGTCAGATAAATTGTTACCACATGATGAAGGATTTGACATATTAATGTGGTGGAAATGCAACGGTGCTAAGTTTCCTATCATGCAGAGGCATGTGTTGGCCATTCCTATTTCTACAGTAGCTTCAGAATCGGCTTTTAGCATGAGCGGAAACAAGATAACAAAACAACAAGTCGAATAAAATCGCAAACAGTTGGAGCATTGATGTGCAGCCAAGGTTGCTTAAGGAAAGAAATTGAAGGTAGTAATTATCTAAATTGTTATATTTTCTGACTTGCATTATTTTTATTTCAGATAAAAAACATTGATAACCTAAAGGATTTGATCAAACGATTGCATATGACAAGGATGTTGATTATTAAGTGACTATAATTTGTTTGCTTGGCAAAACATATTTTGATAAGTTTGCTTGATGTTTGAAAAAAACATGTTTTGATATATTGTTGTTATTTTATGTTTCTTGAAGTTTCATTCTCCAAGTAAAAATGTCAAATTGGCAGAGACAGGAACAACCGAACAGGGGCGAAAAAAAAACAGAAATAGTCATCAAAAACCGGGGCTGGGATGTTAATCCCCGTACCTGCCGGGGACCGGGGCCGGAGATTACAAAACTCGCCCCGTTGCCATGCATATGAATATTAGTGTACCGGGTACCTGGTCGGGGGGTACAATACCCGGCCCCAACCCCGGTTTTGAGTCTACCGGGGATTCCAGACCCGTTTTAGTAGGGAATCCCCGTTCCCATTCGGGTCGGGTGAGCCGGGTTCCCCACTGGGTCGGGGCAAATCACTATCCTTAGTACAACCTAGTGAATTAGCCATTTTTGGCAGTAACTGTGGCGTTTACAAGGTACTAAACTCAGATTTAGTACGGCATACCACCCCCAGAGCGTCAATGTCGGACACACGGAACGGAAGTAGTCAGTCGGGGTATAGAGGCATGCTTTGCTGGTGGACAGCCTAAGAAGTGGGCGATGTGGCTTCCTTGGGAAGAATATTCTTTCCACACATCATGGAACACTATCCCTTTCAAGATCTTTATGGTCGCGACCCACCAATGTTAACTCCCTATTCAGACATGGTAGTCTCCAACTCTTCATTGACCAAATGCTAATGGATAGAGATAGCATGCTGACCGAACTTCAAGTCCACGTACAGAAAGCACAGCAAAGAATGAAAAGTTCGGTAGACAAGCACAGGCGCGGCGACCTAGAATATTCGGTGGGTCAATGGGTGTTCTTGTCCGCTCATACCCCGTTTCTACGGGCCGTTTATTACTATTGAACGCATTGGAAAGGTTGCGTACCGCCTTCAACTTCCCAATGATAGTAGTGTTCACCCTGTGTTTCATGTTTAGGAGAGATCCGGCTCTCGAACCCAGAATTATCTTTTTTCCTTTTTGTAATCATTTTCAATTCAGCAATTCGAATACAAAACAACCGATTGGTTTGGTTCTATTAGTCTGTTGGTTCATTGTTTTTTCATGTGTTCAAGTCTTTTATTAAAAAAAATTCAGAAACATAATAGATCTGAAATTAATAATTAAAAACTAAGAAAATGACACTAACAAGATTCGAACTCGGGTCTGGGGTGGAAGAAAAACCTTACAAACCTACTTTACTAAGTAAATAGTTCTCATTGTAGTTTCAAAATGTATATAGTGGCACACAACAAATTAATATGGTGACACTTTTCACGACCCTAGAATTTTTCACACTATGATGGATAAACAATACGGTGGCATGCAGGGTCTACCATATGCTCTACATTGGGTGCGTCCATGCCTCTACCTCCACCCCATCGGCTTCCACCACCTCTACGTCCTCCACTTGTGGTTTTCTGGGACTTTAAACACACACACACACATATGTGGGTGCGTTTGGTATGTAGACGGGACTAGATGGGGCTGAACGAGCGATATTGGGGTAAGCCGGTGCACGGTTTTAAAAATCGGTTGAGGCGGTGCCTTTCAAGCCCTGAAGATGCATACGGCTTGGTGGTTTGTGGCAGTGCCGGAGGCGATGATGAGGTGTACGTCTTGGTTTGATTCCGTTGCCGTTTTTTATTTAAAAGAACACTCAAATGACAAAACCCTTAAAGTTGTACGTTTTTATAAGTTTATGTAAAAAAAGTGTATTTTTCTATTTAAAAAGCGTACTTTTCATTTAAAAGCTGTACTATTTTTATTAAAAAGTTGTACTACTTATATTTAAGGGATGTACTTTCGTATTTTAACAAGCCAAAAAAGCACACGTTTTTCTATCTCAATCAAAAAACCATCGACCCTTCTCTCTCACTGAGACCCTCTTCCTGCTGTAGAGTTATATATAATTGTGTTCATATATATATATGTGTGTGTGTGTTTCTGTATATTAATATCTGCAGTTAGTATCACTGTATTATGAAGCCTGTGCGGCAGTTTTAGGGTTTTAATTTGACATCAACAGTTTAGTAATTTACCAATCTTGTCTCACCTTCCAGACTTTTGATCCACGTATGTCCTATTGGTCATTTTCCCAGTTTCAATGGTATTCATTTGTGTATGTATGTGTTGGTATTCTTAATGTCTTTGGTTCTGGGTGATAAATGATGGGGTGCAAATGGTGATGATATGTGTAGTTTGATTGGGATTTGCAGGTGTTGTGGATGCAATGTATATCACAAGCTTGTGGATAATTTGTGAATCTATTTCATGAAGATGAAATGCTATGTGGAATCAGTCTTTCAACTATCAAGATCCAAGTGGTAGTGTTGCTGGCAATCTTAATTGGCTTCTTATGAGGTGAAAACTATATGCACATATATGTATATACTTTCTTTTTCTTACCTTTCACAAGCTCTGGTGTTATTCATATGGAAACAACTGATCTGCTCTTTTGGGTAAATGTCAGGTCTGCATATATTTTACCTATCTGACCAATAGGTGAGATATAGTAAGGTTCATTTGATTTGGTTTTGTATGTACATTCTTTTTCATAGTTTTCACAGGGTAGGTGAATTCATAGAAACAACCATTTTATTCTTTTTTTTAAAATATTAAAATTACAAAACTACCCAATCTTTCGTTACAAAGGATATATTTTTAAAGGGTATATTGGTAAAACTGACATCTCTCATTTCCTTTCTCTCCTGTTCAAGAACATGAAAATTATTTCCTTTCCTTTCCGTCATTTTCTTTCCCTTTCGAGAACACAATTAAAAATTTTCTTTTTCTTTTTTTTCCCTCCCTTCCTTTTCCTTCATTTTCTTTTCTCTTATCTTCTCACATTTTCTTTTCTCTTATCTTCTCCCCAGTTTAGAGAACACAATGTGAGGCGTAAGGTAGAGGTCAGGTCTGTACTACATCTTACCTTCCCTAGGCCCCACCTTTGGATGAGATACACTGAGTTTGTTTGATTTGGATTGGGTTTGTATGTACATTCTTTTTAATACTTTTCATTGCTTCTAAATGAATTCTATATCACATTATGGACTAAATGTGTGTTTTTTGTGCTTGCTCCTTCTACCCTTTGCAACTTCAAAGTTAATTGCATGAGATTAATGAATTTTGAGAGTTAGGGGTTGTTTACCCAACCCGTACCGATAAACACAACCAGGTAAGCGCTTATTGGTAAGAGTCAACATGTTCAATTAACTTACCAAGTAGGATTTTAGTCCGTTAAAAAGGCATCATATGCAACATTTTTATCCGATAAGTGCTTAACCGGGTAAGAGTCATCATTTTCACTTACCGGGAAAGACTCTTTGTCCTTGTCATCAGTCTTTTCGGGTAAGATTCTCAATATTTGCCACCGATCAGGTAAAGTGACACGGGTAAGCGTTCAGCAAACGGCCTCGTAAAAAACTTGTTGATCTTTTCTTGTACATCATAATATATCAACACCTTAGATTTCTTGATTCATGGTGATTATACAAAATAAACCCCCTTCTATCAACTTTGTACTTGCATGCATCAGCATCAAAGCTTTTTTCTTACATTTTAATGTTCTGATTTAAATTGAATGGGTTCACATAGTAGCAAAACAAAGTCTTGGGCCGTTTACCAAACGCTTATCTGGGTAAGCGCTTACCAAGTCACGTTACCTCACTGGATGAATATTATAAGGATCAAGAATCTTACCCGGTCAGAGCGAGACAAGTACCAAGAGTCTTACACGGTAAGTGAAGCCGATGACTCTTACCACAGTAAGCGCTTACTGGGTAAATTATTGCATACGATGTCGTTTTGTTGAGCTAAAATCTTACCCAATAAGTAAATAATAGTGTTAAATTTTACTACTAAGCATTTACCGGGTAAATGTTTGGTAAACAACTCCTTAAGTGGCGAAATGTTTCATGACTTGGAATTTTTCTCACATATATATACATATATATATATATATATATATATATATATATATATATATATATATATATGCACACACACTACATTATAAAATATTTAAGTAAAAGTTGTAAAGACAATTTATTAAGCATTAGTAATGTATCATTCTTCAAATTTCAAGCGTACAAGCAATTATTGTATGGGCATGAACAACCTTATTTTTATCCCAAAAGATACTCCACTCTCTAAAAATTGAAATAAATACATTTTTATTTAAAATTTAGAATATTGAAATTATTATAAAAATAATAACAAAATTAAATAATATAAAAAACAAGAATTCAAAATTACTAATTTGATGCTAAGATCGATATATAGGTTCGATTCGAAACGATTATTTTTCATTTTAGGTTTACAACAGAATTTTGCATAACCAATCAAAGACCTCCACGTCACCAAAGTGGATAGCATTTCCTACCTCTACCAAATGGGATCAATCCACAAGAACACATCTCATTATCCAGACCACTTCACCCCTCAACAAACACAAACCACACAAATCCATCCAAAAATCATCCACAAAATCACACCTTATAATCCCACACCTCTCTTCTTCCCACACCCAGAGCTTCTTCACAATGGCAAGTGTAACATCTTCAGCTGTTTCCATCCCATCGTTCACCGGCCTCAAGGCCATCGGAGCCACCGCTTCACGGGCCACCACCGTGAAGGTGGCGGCCGCCGCCACCCCCAAGCTTTCAGTGAAAGCTTCACTGAAAGACGCCGCTGTTGCAGCCGTTGTTATTTCCGCCAGTGCATTGCTCGCGAGCAACGCACTGGCCGTCGAGGTCTTGCTGGGAGCCAATGACGGTGGTTTGGTTTTCGAGCCGTCGACCTTCACCGTCGCGCCCGGTGAGAAGATCGTGTTCAAGAACAACAGAGGGTTCCCGCATAACGTGGTGTTTGACGAGGACGAGATCCCGGCGGGCGTTGACGCAGCGAAGATATCGATGAGTGAGGAGGATTTGTTGAATGCAAATGGAGAGACATATTCAGTGACATTGACTGAGAAAGGGACTTACAGTTTTTACTGTTCACCACACCAGGGTGCTGGTATGGCTGGAAAAGTTACTGTCAACTAAGCATGGTTTCATTTATGTCTCTCATTTCTTAAATAAACTTCATAAGGTTTGATTTTGTATAGAGTTGAATAGACCAAGATTTATCCAATGGCTCTATCATTTTATTTGGAAAAAAAATGTTGCAATTTTGATGGTATGGTTCCAACTAATACATACGTCACAGGTATTTATATACGACAAATACAACAAAAGAACTTATACACCTTCTTCATATTTGGTGAGGTTTGAACCCCTGACCTCCTAGGAGCCTTTTGGCGAGGTTTGAACCCCTGACCCCCTGGGAGGCCAAAGGCTCGGATGCCTCCCTCTTTACATTTCGTGAGGTTTGAACACCATAGGCTCAGATACCTCCCTCTTAACATTTGATGAGGTTTGAACTTGTGACCTCCCGGGTAGCCAAAGACTTGGATACCGCCCTCTTCACATTTGGCATGTTTGAACCCCTAACCTCCCGAGAGGCTAGAGGCTCGGGTACCGTTAGGCTAAAGGCATGTATTATTAATGATGAATAAATAACCCAGAACATTAATGAATAACATGCATTTTCATTAGGGATTATTTCATCATGAGCATTTATCACGATATTTATCATGAATAAAGCATGAATAGAACCACAAGAGTGGTGCCTGATTGGTTTGAGCTTGGCTCCAAAAGTCAAAAGTACTAGGAGGTCCCAGGTTCAAATCCAATGAGGAATAAAAATCCCCCTGTGGCCACGGAGGTTCAAATGCGGTGACTCTGGGCTATCTGCAAAGCAGGTGGTCGCCCTGGGATTAGTCGGCTCGCATAGCGGGTTGGATATCCAGGTTAATAAAAAAAACATGAATAGTTGGTTCTCATATTCTCAAAATATTTAGGGTTCACATTTGAACCAGCCCTTTCAATGGATTATGTTGATTACAGAAGCAGCTGAGTTAAAAATGCCAATGAATTCTTAATTTCTACAAATATATCCAATTTTATTCCCACTTATCTTGATTGAATAGAACAATGTGTTCAAACAACACTAAAATGTCTAATGAACCTTTAAACAAATCGGTGAGGCTAATCCTCTTTCACCCGAAGATCATGGGTTCAAGCCGGAAAAGAAACCCTTTCAACAACACTAGTAAACCCGAGGAGCCTTGGTGCACCAAGATCAGCGTTTATTTATAATGATATACGTATGATATAGATACGGGCTATTCCTCGAGGTCAAAACCGCGTTTCTGTTATGAAATTTGGGCATAAAAAACTTACGTAATCAAAGCATTAGGGAGGTTGGATACAGCACCAAGGATCTTACCTCCAACATCCGGGAAATGTTCGTAATCAGGTAAAGGGCATACTTTCCCATCGGGCTCAACCTTGATAGGGTACTTGAGAAGATGGCCGGGCAAGGGAGTGAAATCGGCCGAGGCGAACCTTTCCCAGTTCTCTTCTGCAAACTCGTTTATACTCTTTACGCAGGCTAAACTTTGTGGCTCGTTGAAGTAATCTTCGATCTTGCCCAAATGTTCAGCCCATAGTGACATTCTATATCCATGCACCTGAAATCAACATTGATGACGAAAGACGTAAAAATCATTAAAAAAAACGGGCTCAGTAAGTAGTTTGAAGGTGCATTTGGTATGCAGACAAAACTGGAGAGTATTGGAAGACGAGAGAGAGGTAGGTAGGTGAAAAAGTTGTGGAAGGTTTTAGGGTTTTAATTTGACATGGGTCGTTTAGTAATTTACCAAACTTGTCCCACCTCCTTGATCTTTGTTCCATCTAATTTGGTTGGATAGAGAAAATGCATTTTTGTCCCGCTCAGTTATGTCCAATCCTAGTTTAATTGTTGCAACAAACATGTGACAACTGTTATCTTGTGTACTAAACGCACCCACATAGACAACGCCATCAAAATGAATATATACTAACTTGACCATGCGGGTGACTTTTCTTTTGAGCCCATGTGTGATGGGGCTGATACGCCCCCATGGCTATCTCCGTATCTCGTGAACCAGCCATGGATCTTTGGTTGATGTTGGCAGATCCCAATATCACATACTCATCATCTACGATCATTCCCTTTGCATGTACGTAAATCATGAACCGTCCGTTCTTTTGAGAAGCCGAAACCTGCAAGAAGTATACCAAGTGTGTTCTTGATCATCATCCTCGTTTAAGCTAAGTCCCAACCGCTGTCCGCTGAATCCTATCTCAGATCATATATATGCAAGATATATATAGAGAGAGAGAGAAGGGGGGGGGGGRGGTTCAGGGGAAAACCTCAAAAAAGATAAACTCAAGAACACTCGGCTAACCATTTGTCTCGACGGCATGCACATGTGCATACAAGTAATTGAAGCTACTTTTTGGTTTTTATGCATATGTGCATACCAGACAAATTGCTTACATATTACTTGTATTTACATGTGCATACCATCTTACCAAAGTGTTCCTCAGTTTTTCATTTTTTTTGGAGTTTTCCTCTGAACCTGACTATATATATATATATATAGAGAGAGAGAGAGAGAAAGAGAGACATATAACACTTGTCAGGGGTCTTCAAGGAGCGAGGGGTAGAGGTAAGGCCTGCGTACATCCTAGACCCTCCCTAGACCCTATTACGTGTAAGGTTCACCGGGTTCGTTTGGTTTTGGTTTCGGGTTATCATGAAGATCTTGACACGATGATCATAACGTAGCTAAAACCTTCGAAATTGCGGGTGAAGTTCTCAAAGTGAAGGTCAAAATTCGTAAATTTTTTATCATATAGAACTAGAATCTCGACATTCCCAACTGGTCAAAGCATATGTATACATCTAGATTATTAGGTGAAATACTAGAAATACAATAGAGCAAACTACTAATGCAATACAGTAGAATATATATACATCAAAAGATGCATCATTACCGAACTGCCATCTAAAGAGTTTCTGCCTTCCTCCTTGCATCGTTCACGTTTTCCGAGGCAGTAGAAATTTAAGTAATCTTGTGGATGTGCATTCTCGAGCTCTGAATTCTTGATCTCTTGAGCGATAACTTCATACATCATTTGGATAGTTTGTCCCTGGAATATTAACAAAGATCAAGTATAACCTTAATTTATGTGCATCTACCATCCTCTTAGGGCATGTTTGTTAGCAGCTTAATGGGAGTCACAGCTTATTCATTTAGATATACACGACTGTTTTATAGTGGCTTAATGATATAGAAAGTGGCTTATTCACTAAGCTTCTAGGTGGAGCTTTATGCAAAAAGCCAAACTTTTTTCCAGACCTGCCCCTCCCAATTAGAAAACACACTCCTCCATTTACGATAAACCCCTCCCAAACAAAAACCTTCAGAATCTATGGAGACAGATTAATCTACACAGATAACTTTATCCATACAAGACTAATAAAAAACCAACCAAACGGCCCCTTAGAGCATCTCCAATGAAGACGGCCAAATGTACTTTTTGCACTATTTCCGTCTCCAGAAAAGTGCAAATAATAGCGTAATGGTTTGGAGATGGTCTTAACTCTTAAGGGGGCATCTTACTGGAATTTGAGTGTGTTAAAAAATGCATGGGTTATGTATCATATTAATCACAAACTTTCTTATGATTAATGGCATACTACAAGAAAATCAGGAAAAACATGCTCGGGAGACTTCATAGTCTTTTCTTTTAGGAAGGGTGTCCCAGGCTTGCCCAGACTAATCCTGGCAAATTGCAACCGTAAGACATCAGCCTTCATAACCTCAATGGCCACAATTATTGTGGACGCTTAGAATTGAGCCCAGGGAGGATGGGATATTCCACCACATCCCTCTGGGCCTCAACCACTACTTCATAATCTTCATGTCAACTGTCTTCATTTTGGTAGTACACACCATTCAGTATCCTAAATAGACTGTTAAGAAGATGGGAAATCTTATGCTCATTACCTGCCAAAACAAGATTCCTTGAACAGCCGCAGAAGTAGGGACGCCTTCTGGCCACATTGGAATGACAACATAAACCGAAAACCTCTCATTTGCCCTTATCTTACTAGCAATCTTCAATGCCAGCTCCATTGGGATCAAATGATCAGCACCTATTTATGAAAATAATGAAAGTAGAGAATTCATGGCCATGAACTAATAGAATCCATGGAAAAACAAATGTTTAGATGCATAAAATACAACTAATGTAGCCTATTGTACAATTAAGTACAACTAAGAAAAGCTTTTTAAGGATAATTTGTTGCACTTATTATGGTACAGAGGAATAGATGGTAAATAATGACCATTAAGGTAGCATTTGGTCCACAAACATGATTGGATTGGACTGAACAAAACTGGACTTTACAAGAGGGCAAGACTAGACACGACAAGTCGACAAGACAAGTTGTCTGTTTAGTGTTTGGTACGATTAGGACTGGATAGGACAAAACTAGACAAGTTGCCCCTAGAAGTTGTTTGATGAATAGTAGTTATAAATCACACAGATCAAATATATATTTAAATCATTTAATTTAGAGTAAATTACTATTTTCTTCCCTATGGTTTGTCAATAATTTCGATTGTCGTCCCTATGGTTTAGAAATTGCGATTTCATCCCTATAGTTTGCAATTTATTGCTATTTTCATTCCTGGACTAATTCCTACCTTGTAGGTACAAATAACAAAAACAGTAAAGAAATGTAAACCACAAGAACTGAAACAACAATAAATTGTAAGTCATAAGGATGAAAATAGCAATGAATTACGAACCATAGGGACGAAAACAGCAAATTTCTAAACCACAAGGACGAAAATCGCAATTTTTAACAAACCACAAGGAGGAAAAACGTAATTTACTCTTTAAGTTATAAACATTTTTACGCAATTTTCATATACATAAATACATACATATATAATAGTACCAAATTTGAATGAAGAATTTGATATAATTGATACGTCAAAAAAAAAGTCGGTTCGTACAAAGAAAAAAACTATGTTTTATTCGGTTTGGAAGATCCTCGTGAATTGGCATCCAGTCCCATGTACTAAACACAGCCTAAATATCTTAACAAATAAGCATTATATGCAACTTCCCATTGATTATTGCACAAACCTGCATCACTATTGGATGACCATGCATATGATGAACCGAAAAAGTATTGATTCTCAATGTAAATGAAGTGCTTGGCAGATCTTATGGCTTGAATGTACGCCCTTTGAATGCTTGTATCGATCACCAGATTTTTTGAGCCGACCAGATTCTGCTACACGAGAACATTAAAATAATGTCAAAACATAACACCCGTTTCAACAACTTCCAGTTGTGTGAAACTTCTTTATACGGTAATTAAGATAAACCTGAGACTCAGCTGCTCGAACATCTTTGGGAAATCCTTCCAAAGAACCTGAATCGATTGAGCGGAAAAGCTGTCCACATAAAAGAACCCAACAAAACAAAGGTCAATAGAGCATAAATTTTTGACAGAAACCAATCTTGGTTAAAGTTGCAAACCTGAACATGCCAGTTTTCTGGATCTTCCGCCTTTGAAACCTGCAGTTCTTGATCATCATTTGGAACCCTCGACGAAGGGCAGAGTATCCATTGATTGCGGTCTAATCTAAAAAATGAATCGTCATTCCAGTGGGATAGTTTTTTTACGCCAACTCGGGACCATTTTGTAGCTTTTTTCCACCTTTGCTCAAAGTTTTTAAGCACATCATGTGCAGCAGGACCATCAATTTTGCAGTGTAAATCATGCCAGGGTTGTCTTGGCCCTTTTATACCTGACTATCATAGAAAGAATATAGTATGGGTCTCGAAACTGAAAAACAGACGGTTGAACGAATAAAAGTTATTTATCCCTTCTCACATACCCGAGAACTTTTGGCTATTGAACACATCTACTTGATTTGGAACTTTTTGCATTAACTTGAAATGAGAGTAGAAAACACATTACAAAGATTATCATATAGATAATTCCTTGGGATGGGAAATCAAGAATTCAGTCATACACTCATACTACCACACAGCTGGTTGGGAGGAAAAGACTTTCTTTTATAAGTAGGCGAGAAAAAACAAGACACCAAAGGGCCTTTGGCCTAGCTGTATCTGAGTCTTTTGCCTCCTAGGAGGTCAGGGGTTCAGACCTCACCATTCACCAATGGTGAAGAGGGTGTGTGAATTTATTTGTTGCATTTGCCGTATATAAAATATATTATATACTTCAAAAAAAGACATGATAACTGGCATACATCACAATCAAATGCATCAAGGAAGACAAACAAGGACTTTACTCAAAGATGGTGATGTCGTGATGAAAAGGTTATTTTGATAAGTTTTCAATTAGTGAGGAGCTTAGGGAAATTGAAGACCCTTTTGAAGATACTAATAGAAGTTCTGTACATATAATCAGAGTGTTGAAGATGAATGAACCACTAAAAAAATGAAGATATGTAAAGCTTTACGCCTAATAATATTTTTATGTAGGTTAGGGGATCCTTTGGGGAGGTAGGCATAGTAGGGCACACTAGATTATTTGATGTTATCTTTAATGGCTTGGTCAAGATATCTACAAATCAATGTGAAGTTCTATTATGCATGGATGGTCCTGACAACATGGTCACGAACAAGATGGCAAATGGCTTCAATGTGCTTAAACCTCTCATGGAAAACTTGATTCTTGGTTATACGAAATAAGCGTCTCATCTGCACCATCATCTCACAGGTGACATCAGCCATGGTCAATACTCGGATTCCCCAGATTCAGCACTTAATAACTGCTTCTTACTCTTCAAGCACACAGTGTTCCCTCCAACGAATGCAAATTAAGTAAGTAACCGGGGGAAATCTCTGGTATTAGGACAATCAGCATAGTCAACATAAAAGATCCGAGAATACTGCCTGGGCCTTCCAGTGAATGTTCCTACATGGAAATGTCCATGGTTTGGATAAAGAATGCCCCAACTTGTTGGTCCTTAGAGAAGCTTCCTTTAGCATAACAGAATTGCCTAATCCAACATGAAACTATCTCCAAGTAACACCAAAATCATAGAAACCTGGATGTCCTCGTTTTCTAGAGTGTCCCTTTGTAATCAATAGTTGTGATGCCATTGATGAGACGCCTATTGAGTTCACAAAAAACCGGAATCAGAATTTCACAATACTCGAGAGAAGACGCAGGATGGGTCAATGACTCGATAAGCATAGGGGGCAGAGGACTTGTGAAATTCTGTGATTAATAGCTTTCAGCCTTATGGAAGCTTAAGATCAGTTGAGTTGAAAAAGTTCTTCGAATTTCTCTGTTTGTTTCCAGTGATTGCTAGGGTGGGCATCTCTAAAGCCTAAAGGTGCTGCATCTGTAGAAAAATCTTCCGGAAATTATGGAATGTTGCTGATTGTGAAAATATAGTTATGTCCAATCAAATCCCTAACAGGAATTAAATTTAGTACTAGAGTACAAACTTACATAAAACGTAGGATTGTGGTAATCGTTCTCAAATACAGTGCCACGATCACGAAATAAACGATGTTGTGGTGTGTCATAGCGTCCATTACAGAGGTCCAGACCTCCGATAAATGCAGATATCTTCCTGTAATTTCCGAAGGCTTGTGTATCCACTATAACACATTTCTGATGATGGGTATATAGGGTGCCAACAACCTGCATCGAAAGAATTGTCTAATATAAGAAACAAGATTGGAACACATCACCATTGACGTGAACTAAATGCCTCTTAATAATTTTACATACACCAAATCTGTTTGGAAAAGAAGCTCCTTCACTTTGTGCTACAAGTTCATGTATGTTGACAAGTGATTGAAATTCATGCAAATTATGAACTTAAAATGCCAGCTTATCATAATAAAACCTCATCATCATCGTTCATTCTTTTCACATCATCTTCTTACATTATTGGAAATATATGTGTAATCCATGATCATGGGGATATGAAGCTGGAGAAGATGCAGCAGAAACAAGAATGCACTAAGAACATAAAACTGATGAAAGTTGAAACTTTAAATTTACTGAAGTAAAATAAGTTTGTGCAGATTAAAATGCCTATTTTTTGGTTGTTTAAACTGAATATTGATGACTTGAGAGTTGAGATCTAGCAACTTCTGATGCCAATCTATTAAGCTCATTTTCCAAATGCCTGAACAAATGCATGCATTCATTTGACCAAATTATGCTATCCAACACAAGGCTATCTAATTAACAATCTGAACCCTTGCTATAATTTGAAAATTTTAAAGCATGTTCTTGCTATATTTCTACTATTCTGATCTATATTCGAATCTGTCATGTAATACAATCTAAGTGTCAGTTACAAGATCTAGTATGCAGAATAAACCAAACCAAATGAACCCAGTATATCCCACCCAGAAGTAGTTAACCAATCCATCCAACTATTGAGTTTCAAGTTGCCACAACATTTTTAAACCATGGTCCAACTTGGAATTACTAAATTATCCAAGGTTAGATATGATAACAATCCATATAGAAGATCTCCCCTCCCCCACAAAGTAAACAAAATTTCGAACACAGTATGACGCATGCCTGTTGCTTGAAAATGCTAAGCTTACTGCTGGCATATCGAGGTGCCAACACGCAGTTGACAGATGTGTGTTTGAAAAACTTCCGAGTTTCTTCATCATGAGTTTGCATCAATCCTTCCTACACACAAAAAATATTAAACCATTAAGATAAGTGACATTTTATGTTTCTTTTCCATTTTTCTTTTTGCAGTCCCGAGTTTAAATGCATCTTGATTCAAAGGAAGCATCTATTTTAGGTTTAGTGTTCCATGTAAGTACTACTTTGAACAGTAAAACATGTGTACCCAAAGAAATTAGGAGCCTTTCTTCTCTACCGTAAATAATGGTTTTACAAAGTGTGTAATAATCGATCAATGTGCAAAGTTAGAGATGGGCCAAGATATAAACCCTTGAGAAAATACCAATAACGGATATCCTATATCCCTAACAGCCATGTCTAGTTAGAGCACATATTTCAAATATGTCCAACATGCCACATGTGATCAAACTGAGTCGTATGAAAGGGCTTTGTTGAGATGCATGATCTCAATAACACACCCAAACAGCTCAGTAGGAGATTCATAAACGTCCCACCACCTTCTTAGAAAAGAGATAAGGGTCCACCATAATAAGTTGATATACTCATATCTGATTCTTGGAGATGTGCATAGTTGCTCTGCTGTCGCTACATCAGCATCAAACCATAAACAGATTACCACCCACAAAGATAGTGCCTTATTCTAGACCTTTGGCTACATGGAGCATTGATAGACAACTCTAGTGCGCTTATGATCTCTATATATAAAAAGATCTTGCAATATAACCCCTAGGTATGTCAATATCTCCCATATCACATATGAATGATCGGTATGAATGAAAGACCAAATGTGGTCACACTCAAAAACATGCTGATCTATCACTTCCAATTTTTGAACTATTTTTTTCTAACTTTTTGGATCATCAAGTAGCACATCTGAGACCATCACAGAACCTTAAGGCCTGAACATACCAAGCTGAACAAAGATATCAGACATACTTTCGTTAGTATAAGGCGTAGTTGCAGGATCCAGCCACATGTAGTGCCACCAAGTACTTGAGAATCCCGAAGTCCATCCAAGATTTCCTCAGAATGAACTTTAGAGTGCAATCCCCTCTAGATCATCCCCAAAAACCAAAATATCATCAGGCCAAACAGAACAGAGACTACTTCCATAAGAAGCACTGCCGAGGGATCTATTAGCTGCAGCCACTAGACAGGCATTGTAACAAGGGGGCTGCAGTGTCCGTCTTATGGAGGATATTGTTTATATGCAGAGTCATGGCTATACCATTTATAAATTATCATTGAGAGGTACAATTGTGTCATTCAAGATGGCAAAATATGCAGAGTACATGATGGGTTAGCAACCGAAAATAAAAACACAAAGGATATACCATGGTTACTTGATTCTGTGTACTTCTAACATCTAGAAGTAGATATAAAATTTATCCAAGTACATTTCCTGATTTCCATCCACAGTCCAAGCAGGGTTAGATAAAGGGGCATGTGAAGCAGCTAAGGGAAAAAGATCAGCTACCCAGAGAACTATAGATGCATGTGTCAAACCGCACTAAATTAGGGGTAATGAAAGTATCTATTAGTATGATATTCCTAAGAAAGAGCAAGATCACTAAAACATGCCAATATGCTATAACTAACTGGATCTTTGAAGAGGTATCAGTAAACCTGTAGCCTTCTTGCTATCATCATATCTGCATTTCATTGTTTATAAACACAAACACAAGCAGAAAACCTAAAATCTTAGGGAAGGAATGAAAACAATGAAGCATTTTTACCGTTCGAATGAAGAATTTGTCGTGTGAAGTCTTATCATCCCAAACAAGCAATAAAACCTTCACCCCTTCTTGTGATTTACGCTTCAACAACTCCCCAAGAGTCAAGTTCCCATCTCTTGGCAAAGGCTTGGTAGGCTCCCTAAGCAGTTTCACCTTATCGAAGATCGACCACCCAATAACATACACCAAATGACGAGCCTCCAAGATAGCATGGCATATATCTTCCCAGCAACCCTTGTGCTTAAAAGTTTCACACTCTCCACCCCCTTCTATTCCTCCTCCATCCAATTTGATATCCGGTAACTCCCCATCCCGGACATGGGCATCCTGATACAGCGTCACATTACATCCATGTCTAATCGGAAAATAACTTCGTTTCAAGCCAAATGACTCATCGGTGCCGATTTCATGTCTGTTATTATCGACATAACAAGGGGTGAATCTGAGTTTTAACCGTATCGCGGCTTTAGGTTTTGGCGGTTTACCAAATGGACCTAGTATCGGGAACCAATCTTCGATTAACTCACCGGACTTTATCCACTTAGCGGAGATTGTGGCGACGCCGATCATATCTGCACCGAAAACATCATTATCCTTCACCTGAAACTCCACCTGCGCCACCGGATGAGCTAGCAGCGTAACAAAATGCTCGTTCCAGACAGGATATTGGGAGTTAGAAATCACACGCGTCCGTGCGACGGTGGCTCCGCTGAGGCAGACGCTTACGTACGGATCGCTCGTAATCACCTTATGATTGCGCTTCGCTTTTTTGTTCTTTTTCGATGATTTACACAGATGCAAGACTTTCAAGCAATGGCGCACTCGCTCCGTTGGTAAATCCATGTTCGGCAAACATCGAGCTTCGATTATCGTTAAATCGATCTCTCCGTGAAGATAAATGGTTGAATCTGAATCATGGACTGTCATCATCTTTGCACCACCAATAACTCCTATATTATTTTATAGATAATTTACAGTAAGAGCAATGAAATTTCATATAGGTATTTGCCGGAGTAATTATGACGAAATGAGCGTGGCGGTGGCAATGCCGTTTGGATACCCGGCAATGGTGTCCAACGGCGGCTGAGAATGCTCCGGTTGACGGTTGTGATGGTGGATCCCGACCAGCTCCAGGTACATGGAGAAGATGGTCGCGAACAAATCGTAACTGTTTGACACGTGGAGTTGCCAATTTTTTCATAGATCATTTATTTCCTTTTTTTACTTTCATAAAAGTATTAATCAAGGGGTTGTTTGTCTTCTTATAGTCATGGGTTGTTATTGAATGATTTGGTGTAAAATGATTAAGTAGTCATTAAAAACTCTCATGATATAGTGAAACATGAAATATAATTGTTTGGTAATTATTTACAATGAAATTAAGGCGTTGAATGGTTAAAGGAGACCCATAATACAAAATTATTTAGAGGGTTTTAGAACCATTAATTTTTTTTGCCAACAAGATTCACCTCTTGAAGATTCCGATATTGCCTCTTAATGAAGCTATTAAAAAGTAAACAAACGATCTCTTATATTAATAAGCAGTCTTTGAATCGTTAAGAGATTAATTTTGTTTGACAAAAAAATATATGTTTCTTAATAATTTTAAAACCCTCTAAATGATTTTATATCTTGTGTCTTCTTTAACCAATCAACGACTTAACCAATCCTCGGTAGACTCGAACCGGGGGTGGAGCCGGGGCCGGGTAGCGTATCCACCAAACCGTCCCATACCCGATATATAATTTTATTAATATATTTTACTATAATATATGTGTGTGTATGTGTGTGTGTGTGTGTATATATATATATATATTGTTTTTTAAATTTAGGTCTTGACGGGTAACAAGGATCGGGGTTTGACCAGAAAATAAACCCGGGACGGGATATTAATCCCCGTATCCGCTGGAGACCGGGGCCAAGGGTCGTTCATATAAATTGGGGCTGGGGGCGGGGATTAGAAACTCGCCCCATCCCTGGCCGATTGCCATGCCTACTGCTTTTATAAACAAACACATGTTAACTAATCATATATTCACATGACGTAATCTTTTATTTTTCCAGATAACTAGTTGATGAGTAAAAACTAAAATGAAACGATATGTTAGTATATCAATTGAACAAATGATATGTCTTAGAGAAACTCTATGTCAATTTCATCAATCGCGCATCTTAATCGTTGTCGTTTAAGCTCGTTAAGTTACTTATACGTCTTTGTCAAGAATTGCATCAAGAAAGCAAAAATACGCCCACGCTGTTTCAAGGACGAGTTCGTATGACTACTCAATCAGAGGGTTACTAAAATCGGTTCACCTTTCGTTCAGACATTTTTAACATATCTTATGTTTCAAATTAGATTCTTGTAAAAAGGGATGGACTGATTAAGTCCGGTGTGCCTGCTCAACTTATTTTCGTATGTAGATCCTTTTTCATGGTATGAAAGTAGTACCCACTAAATTTTTGAGGGGTACTCTGATATATTATTATAAAATACACGAAATATCAACCCAAAAATAAAAATCTTTCGAAATCAACCCAAAAAATGAAAAAGTCTTTCGAAATCAACTAAAAGACTTTAAAAAGTCACTGGAATTTGGTGGAGTTCGGTTAAAAACACATTGAACGACTTTGCAAACCATTGATCCACCTTAAAGACGCACTCGCTCGACAAAAAATCTAAGTTTACCACTGCTTCTAAAATTTCAGATTAATATAATTCAGTTAGGTGACGTTTGTTTTTTAAGAGGTGCTGAAGTCTGAAGTCTGATTTCACCTCTGGTTTATAAGAGGTGGTGCTGAAGTCTGAAATGTGAATCAGTCGGACTGTTTGTTTTTACATCTTAAGTCTGAAATTTGAATCAATAGACTATTTATTTTTACGTCTGAAGTCTGAAATCAGAATCAATATAAGAATGTTTGTTTTTATAAACTGACAAATGTATGGATTCTGAAAAATGAATCAATTCATTTTAATTAAGTTCAAATGAACTAAAATAAATTTAAAAATATCAACTGAAATATGTCAATTGATTCCACACACAATATTAAACAAGAACAAAGTTTCATAACAACTATAATCAATATTCATTTTGCATTAATTTTGTCGCAGTTTCTTCTCTTAAACTAACCATACATGTTTGGTCAGCAACACTCCCACGCGATTGAACATCTTCAGCCTCATCCTCGTCATCATCCCCACCCCTCAAAATCCCAATAAGATACCACCAATATTATATATGTGTTGGTTCACCAATTTCTTAGCTCTCAATAGTGACATGAAAAAGGGATGTTTAATATAAAAAAATTGAAAGTTTTTAAATTATTTATTAAATGTAACATCATAATAGGACCCATTTTGGTATTTAAAAATTAATTATGGGAACTTTATGTTTTATAGTATATATTATAATAATTTTAAATTTTGTTTTCATGTTCATATTTTAAAAAAATAATAAAATTTGATGTTTTATATAATTTTTTAAGGATTCTTAGGTCATGTCTAAATTAATCCTGATAAATTGCAGTGCAAGACATCAGTCTTGATTAATTCAGTGGTTAAAATTATTATGGACGTCTGGAATCGAATCTAAGACAGATGGATATTCCACCAGATCCCTCTGAATCTCAACCACTACATCACAATCCTGCTAAATTAAAAAAGAGACAAAATCAAATGTACTTTTGTCTTATGACATGTATGATTTTGATATATGTTGTAGCCATATATATAAAAATACAATCAACACAATTTAGTATATTTAAATATTTATGTATGGATGTATAGACTTGGGATCATGTGAGACCAAATGTTTTTTGTGAGACCCATAAAACCAATTCTGAATCTTTGGATTAGATTTACAATATGAACATTCATGATCACAAAATTGCCACGAGACTTCTCAATAATCACAAAATTGCCACCGTGCAACTTTAGACTATTAGATCATTGGCTTATAAAGTTGATCAATGAACATAAATTGGTCTTACGGATCTCACGAAAAACCTTTGGTCTCACGTGAACCCAACCCTAGATGTATATGATTATATATGATTGTAAAGTATATTTTGTTCAAACATAGAATCAGTGTTTTATTTTCTAATGATGAATTACACTGATTATTCATTCTTGGTGTATAATGAAATATTACATCGCGTTATATTGCATGAGTATAAAGCTAGTAAATTTATAAAGTGTGTTGTTGTTCTTGAATGGTGATTTTGTTACTACTAAATTAGTTGGTATTCACATGTGAATATGTTATAAAATAAAGTTGAATGTTATTGTACATGTATATAGGTTCTAGTTAGTATTCACATGTAGAGATGGACAAAAACAGTCTTGGACCGGCCAGTCATGATCCCAGCCAAAAATCATAGGACCAATTTGTACCCGGGTTCTGGTCCCAAATCAGGTATTTGGATCAGTTTTTCAAAAACACATTTATTTTTAGATTGTTTTCACACAAAAATATTATACAAGGTTTTATAATTGTGATTCTTGAAATTCAGTGTTGTGATACACTTTAAATTATACATTTAAGCAGATAAAATCTTGAAAATTTTGTAAAAAACTTGTGTTATAATTTATAAAAAAACTTAATTTATTTTTATGAAAATCAGACCTATAAATAACTGGTCCCATATTGACGGGGTCTTGAAATTCCATAAAAATTATAACCAGTCGAAAATCCAAATCCGATCCATAACATGCTCAATTTAATCATCTCTATTCATGAGTAAATGTTTAATTGCTTAGTAGTTTATAATTGATATTCACATGTGAATAATTAATAAGTTCACAAGTATCTTAAGTATAAACAGTTACATATTAGTACTAGAAGGGTACTCACGCAATTGAACGATATACATCTCAATTTTAATGTTTATTTTTGTTCTCTGTCTCTTTCAATGTTGAAATCGATAGATATCAGGATATGGATGAAAGTTAGCTCTTTATGAAAGATGGAGTTTATCTACATACCGCTTAGGTGTTTCAATAAGTTATACCTAAGCATTGAGAAACTGTAAATTTAAAAATTAAGCAATTAGCATTATATAACAGTACATAATACTTAAAAAGTTGTTTTCAAGAGTTTTTGTCAAATACTTTATACTATATAGTATAAATATAATATATATTTATCTAATAGATGAGATATACTTCTTTTTTTTTCATTTTTTGGGTTACCTTTTAAACCCACCTATGACCTATCTCAATCTCTCTATATAATATTATGGTGGTTTATGCAATGAGGTAAGTAAAAGTAAGGGATTATTGGATACTTAAATATAGGGGTAGGTTGGGAATTTTGGGTTCTAATGATGCTTTCATAGGAGGAGCTTTCATAAATCAATTTCAAGAATCTTATTCTATGTGGGGATGTTGGTTGGTGGAATTACATTTGGAATTATCAAAATTACATTTACACCCTTCTGCTTTTTGTTATTTACACGCATTTGTCTTGAAAATTCACATTCGACCGATAAAACTTATGCTAAAAAGCATGAACGTTCCAATCTTTTGGAGGTCGTGTTACATCGAGACCTTTTAATTAGACTGTAAAATGAGATAGCAGATATACGTATGCGTTAAACATACAAAATGGCTAAATAAAAATCTTCGTCTAAACCTAAACAGTTTAAAATTTGAATCTAAAATAGGCTTTACGTACGTTTTTTTTTTTTTTTTGTAAGGGTGTCCGGGTCAACGCCCGACTAATCCCCGACAATTTTGGAGGCTAAACATGGCTCCACTTAAATGTCGCCAACAATCCCCTCCCAGGGCTCGAACTTGGGTTCATGACTATGTCATGCCCAAGCATTTACCACTAGGCTAGAAGGTCTTTGACGGCTTTACGTACGTTGATAGAAGCTCCAAACCCATGTAAATCTGGGTCCCCAAATTTTGGGGATCCTATTCAAAATCTCACATTTAACATGTTAATGAACAACTATGTCAAAAGCTTATCAACAATTGATGTTTTTGAAAGCTTTTTTTGTTTGTGTATGAATTATTGATTTAGGAGGTGTTTATATTACGCTTTCTTAAAAATAATTATTCAATTATTGAAACTCTATGATTGGTTTTTAGTGGTTTAATAATTAGGGATAGTGATTTGCCCCGACCCGGTAGGGAACCCGGTTCACCTGACCCGAACGGGGACTGGGTTTTCCCGTTAAAACGGGTTCCGTTACCGGAGATCCCCGGTAGACTCAAACTGGGGTTGGGGTTGGGGCCGGGTAGCGTATCCCTCGGCTTGCCTCTCACCCACTATATAATTTTATGAATATATTTTATTTAATGTATGTGAGTGTGTGTTTATATACATATTATTTAATTTCCCGAGGTTTGCCCAGGAAATAAACCGGGGACGAGATATTAATCCCCGTACCAGGCGGGGGCGTTCATAGAAACCGGGGCCGAGGCCAGGGATTAGAAAACTTGCCCCATCCCCGCCCGATTACCATACCTATTAATAACTTCTTGTTGCTTATAAAAATATTATTTAGGTACAAAATATCAGTTGTATATTAGTTGCAAGAAAACTAATTATCAATGTGTAGAATACAATTTCTTCAGTATATTTGTTTGTCTTTTTGTATCTGTTATTTTTTAAATAACCAGTTCGTCCAACGCCTAAAATCATTAAATAATAATATTACAACATATGCATATATAAACACTATGTCGGAAAAATGACTGAAATAAGACGATACCTATGATTATCTAAGAAGTCAGTACTTTAGACAACATAATTCAAAAATACTGACTATAAAGACGACTAAAAGGAGGCCATAGCATCCTAACATGAAGACAACTGGAATGAGACCATGCTCGTGATTTTTCTGATTTTGATTATTGAATATCACATAATCAAATTTAGAATACAAAACGAAACACCCCTTTAACAGGTATGCCAACAAAAACCGAGATCAATCCATAGGTACATTTAATACTGATAACCGTCATCAAGTATCTGTCAAATGGTGTTTGTAGGGTTAAGTAAGGGATTGTTTACCAAATGTTTATCCGCATAAGCTCTTATCAAGTTATATTACCTTAGCAGATGAATATGACAAGAACCAATAATCTTATCCGGTAAGAACGAGAAAAAATCGAAAGTTTTACCCGGTAAATGAGAACAATGACTTTTACCACGGTTAGCGTTTATCGAGTAAATTATTGCATATGATATCGTTTATGTTGACTAAAACTCTTACTCAATAAATAAATGATAGTGTTGAATTTTATTGAGAAATATTTATCAAGTAAGTGTTTGATAAATTACCCAAATACTTTTTTTTAACCCTTTTTGACAAAGATGTGAAAATATAACATGAATCTTTCGATTGGATATCGATGGATTTATTATAAAAACCCAATAAAAATGGTGAAGTAAGCAAAACAAAGAAGAATGGCTTGAATCCACATCGATACCCGCTCAATGGGTGCGCATTACGCCATTATCGTTTTCACAAGACAAAGGAAAAGGTAAAATTTTGATTTCCAGATAAATTATCGTTTCGAGTTTTGTATTATATGCTGTGAATGTTGTACTGTGATCTACGTTTGGAATATTTAGCTCTGGAAAAGGGGTTGGCATATATATAAAGAACCATTGTTGACAATGGCGGCATTCTCCATTGTTAAACCTTTGTTTCCTTGTGTTTAACTGTATCGTTTCATGTTCTTCAGTGAGTGTGAATTTTAATTTTGGTCTTTGGTTTCTTCGTTGTGCTTATTTGATGTGTGAGTTTTTGGATGTGATCGAGTATGTTGATCATCGTGGTTATCGTGTTGGAATCGGCTTTGAGTTGTTTGTGTTGAAGGAATGGTGATGGAAGGCGGAGATACTGAGAGTTGTTGCAGTAGCAGAGCTTCGGAGGCGTCGCCGGCAGCAGCGGCGAGTAGGAAGCGGAGGCCGAAGGTGGAGGTTTATCAGGAGGTTCTTCGTCGTCTTCGAGAATCGGATTGTGAAGAGGCATGTCAACCTGGTTTTGAAGATCAGCTATGGTCTCATTTCAGTCGTCTTCCTGTTAGGTAATTCTGGATTCTGTCATCTTAAACCCTAACTTTTTCTTAAACTGAATCATTCATTATGGAATTTTCCAGAAGATTGTGTTACCAAATGACAATAATTTCATCATCATCGAAGATGTTTATCATCTTTCCCCATTGCATACCGCAATTTCATCAGATATCATGTAAAAGTCTATACATAGTCTACTAAGAACAAATACTAATTTCAACCCCTTTTTTTCTGAATTTGAAGTTGTTCTTTTACAGTTTTATTGTTTTCTTCTTATAGTAAAGCAAAATTTTGAATAGTAGAAAGAGCAAAGATTGTTATCTTCTTATTTATTACTCCATTTTCTAATATCCGCTCACGAAAACAAACGCTCTTATATGGAAAAAAGTTGATTACCAACACGATCCTAACCGGTCTCACACGGAACCGTCTACAAGGACACCAACTTTTGAAGGCATTTCTTGGGGACCCAATATTTATTTTGTATTTGGGCAAAGTTGCCCCACCCCTCCGCCAATTGAACTACAAGTCAGAGGCAACAAAAAGTCTCGACCACCCCTTATCAACAAGAAGTGAAACAAAACTTTAGACTTCGGCACCACTTAAAAACGAAAAAACTACTTAACCTTTGAACTTGATGGAGAAATGATGTGTACCTTTTCAAAAATTACTAGAAATGGGAAAAATCTTGTGTTAAAACTACAACAAATTTTCAAGGACAAGTTAGCATCTAAAAGAATACTATATATGACCTTAAAAGTCCAAGAGTGTCTAATTATTTACTAGAAATGGATTAAGTCTTGTTTTCTTATGCTCATCAGTCTAATGTGGTGGCAAGCTTGTCGTTTTCAAATTTTTTATAATATGTACACATTATTGCAGTAGTTTTGGAGAGTTTGCTGTTGGGATCTTTGATCAAAAAGCAGATTCTGAAGTATCTTATATTCTTATGAAGTAACATTATTATATTTATTCCCATTAGAAAGCTAAAATTACCTAATTTGACATCAGTTCATTTCATGGGATCCAATGACCCTTGAATCTGTTGGTTGGAATTTACATTTTAACATTTTTAGATGCAAATACCATACGATACATACCAAATTATTTGTTACAAAGGTTGTACCACAACAAGCCAATGACAATGTGGTTATGTTGCATGCAATGGCTACTTTTTTTAATAAAAAGTCTATGTAGATGAAATGGTACCAAGCCACTCATATACCACATTTTTCATTGGCTTGTTATGCCAACTCATCATCGTAAAACAAATAGTTATCCTATTGCATGGTTTAACTTGGTGTTTAATGGATGAATTACTATATGAATTATGATGCTAGGGTCGGAATTCACTAAGTTCATAAAAATCATTGCAGATATGCATTGGATGTGAATGTCGAGAGGGCACAGGAAGTCCTTATGCACAAAAAGTTATTGCACATGGCACATGACCCGACTACTAGACCAGCATTCAAAGCCCGCCTTATTCAGGTATATGGGAAATTTGTGATTTGCAGCCTACATCACCTTTCTCTCTAAAATACAGAGGTTGTCGGTTTTGATCCTCTTCTCAATCTTCCCTCACATTGAAATTTGACCTTTGTGGTACACAACATTAGGGGCTGTTTGGTTTTTTCCCCATTAAGTCCTCTAAGAATAAAGTTGTCTGTGTTGATTAATTTGTCTATATAGATTGGGAAGGGTTTTGTTTGAGAGTTTTTTCGTAGATGGAAGCAACGTGTTTTTTAATTGGGAGGGACAGGCCTGGAAAAAACTTGGCTTTCTGCATAAAGCTCCCCTAGAAGCTTAATTAATAAGCCACTTTCTATATCATTAAGCCACTACCGAACGGTCATGTATAGCTGACCGAATAAGCTGTGAGTCCTATTAAGATCATTAAGCTGCTAACAAACATGCCCTTATTCTGTTTTGGTTGTCTTGATGCTTATAGGATGGTTACATAGCAATTTGTGTACTCACTTGGATCTTGACCATTCATTATAAACAGAGTGATACACTACTGACAAAGAAATATTCTATCTTTTTGTTTTACTATTTCATTTATATATAAAATTTTCACTGTAAATGGAATACATGGGGTACATTTCTTCATCTTTTGGTGTAACGCTATTCATTTACACTATATTTGCTCTTAAAGTTTCAAAACTACTTGGTCTGACAACTCTGTAAATGACGGGTCTGACAGATAAGGTCGACTGGTCTTTCTCCATCTTCGAACCTCTGTAACCATTGGTCGGAGTCTCGGAGACCACGGCTCCAAAAATAGAAATTACCTTCGTGGTAACAGGTTTCATTCTGTTAAATAACCATGTGAGGGCATACTTCAGAGTTTTTTGTGAATTTGTATTATTGGGTTATTGCAACAAATCATGTCTTTATCGGATTTACTGATTAAGCTCCATAAATTAAGGAGAGAACTGTTGAACTAAAAGAACACATAACATTCTCTAGTCCTTTTTAGATTTCTAGAATTCAGCCCTACGAACTAGTATTTTTTTCTAATACTCCTCGTTTCTTGGTCTGATAGTCCCTTATAAGGCAACCTTTGTTCCCCTTCCCAACCGATGTGGGATCTTACAATCCACCCCCTTGGGAGCCCAACATCCTCACTGGCACACTAGTCCAGTTCCCGGCTTTGATAGGATTTGTAACACCCCAAAGCCCAAAACAGCAGGTTTGCGAGATAACTTTGGGTCCAACTTAGAACCACGGTGGAAGTTATTGGTAGCCCACAACTTGAGGCTTATAAGGAAGTCACAAATCCCATTGTCTATCCATGTGGGACGAGTTGTTACAAATATCTTTTTTCTTTTCCATCTCTTCCTATGTTAGTCTCGTCTTGTATTTTGATCTTCTCAGTCATCTATTTTCTTTTTTTACTCGCTTCTTCCTACATGGTCTTTTTATACTTCTAGTTTATTATTTTTGTTACCTTTTCTTATACATCGGTATATACCACAAGCTTTAGATACATGCATATTAAGATAATTGTTTCAGGAATCAGGATGTTGATAATTGCAATGCAGGCTTTATGCCATCTATTGCTGTAGTTTTAATTGTGCTTCTTGGAAGTTAATTGCTATTTTCTCATACTTTTCTTTCTTCTATACGTAATAACTGAGCTAATTCTTTTTCTCAAATGAAGTGAAGAGAAATCATGAAAGTAAGTTACAGAACACATATACAAAAAGGAATTATAAAAGAAGGATTCATTATCATATTTCTTACACCTTATGGGTGGCCTTGTATTAACATCGCCATAATGCACCAAGTATGAAGTCCAGGTTTTAACTCTCCCCATGCTACTATGCTAGGTCCAAAGTTCAACTCTTCTTCTGCTCCGATGGCCGACTTGGTGACTTCCATCAAGCAAAATAAAGAACTACAATTGTGGATATTCTAACCTCATTTTATGATACTAAAGTATCTTGTGAATATTATCTTTCTATTCAACATTTATTTTTCCAGTGCAGTGAGATTTTTCTGCAACTAAACATGAATTGAATGTGAAACATGGATTATGCTATCCATAATTATCTTTTGTGCATGTTTTCTTTATGGAGTTGATTCCAAGCTTGTATTCATGTTGAGAGACTATTCAATATAACTGATATCTGCTTTACAAGAAAATCTATCAAATTTGCTATAATGACAGGCTGACTATATCTCTCATCTTGTGTGTGTGAGAGAGAGAGAGAGAGCAAACAACCTATTATTTATGATTAAGTATGATTGGACTATCGTACCGCACTAGCAAGGTATTTAACAACACTTGTACTCGACGTTTTCTCATCAATGTTTTCCATGTCAAGCATCATGATTTCATTATTGAGTCAAACAAACTGATCCAATTTAATACACACACACACACACACACACACACACACATATATATATATATATATATATAGGAAATAGTTGTGCTTCTAGAGAGAAAGGTGGCGTGACTCTAAAACTTGTTTTTAATTATGGGCTGCACAGATATGGAGCTGGGAGCAATAGGTAAAACTGGAAGCATGATAAGAGATAAGACTTAAGCTTAAGTGTGTTAATCTTATTTTTATTATTAGTTTCGGTTTTTAGAAATTTATAAAGAAACACATATGTCTATATATAAACACACCCACGTATCAACAATTCCTTAGGACTGCCTTAACACCAACATTCACATATCACAAACCGATATTGGCCACCTGTATCCTTGTAACATAGATCTCTATTTATTTTAAATAATATCTTAGAAGCACCACAAACTAAAAAATGGGGTATCAGAAATATGGATAATTTCATAATTCATCTTGAATTTAGAAGTCTGGGTTTGACTTTGGAAAACAGAACCTGGGTACTTGCATGTAATAAAGAGAGTATTAGTTTCCTTAAATGCATGGTACCAAATGTTAAAAATTGATAGGTCAGATTTGCATCGATGTACAAAAGTACAAAGTTTAAATTCTAGCAGAGAGCTCCATATGGACCCGAAACTTTGTTTGTTAATATAATTGGTTGATGTTTTTCCTTTGCTGATTTTTCATTTGTTCTTGTGATAAAAACTTTTTAAACTATTTTAAGATTTCAAATGAGATTTACATGTTAAAAATCATGCAGCTTCATGCTAGTATTGCTGAAAATGGCGTTGACTCTACTTCAAGCTATACAAGGATGAAAGATGCCCAAATTTCTATCCATCCAGGCAGGCAGAGGCATGATTTTGAATAATGGATACATAGGTCTTGCTCTTAACACAGAAGAGTACTTATTGAATACATGTTTTCTTTGATTTTCAGTACTCATCCACTACCTGCATTTGGTTTATCTTCGAGTCTTGCTTTTGAGGCCAGTAAATCAAGTCTGCAAGGTGGAAACAAAGTTATGAGTGCCAACCAGCACTTACTTCGGTAATATTTCTGAAAGGTTTGATTCTATTTGAGACTTCAATTCTTTCCGTATGTGGTATCAATAGTTCTTTATCCTCCTAAACAAGCTCCCATGTTGGTACAAAAAATTGAATTGGAGTTCTATAATTTGTATTGTCAGATTAAAGGCAACTTAAGAAACAAATTGTTCCACATGTGAGCTGGAGAATTGTTAATTATATCTACAAATTTTGATTATATACCCTCTCAAATGAAATTTATATATGCTGATGGTTGATTAAGTTCAATAATGTATAAAAGGATAAAGCCTAGTAAATGAAGCTTCTGGCAATGCAACGGAATCTGGATATCGTAAGTGGAAGTCAATGATTATAGGCACTAATGCTTGGCCATTCTTGTTACTGCTTTTGTTTATTTGGTTTATTCTTCCATTCTTGGTGGGTTTTGTTGATCTCTGGAACTTCTTTCAATTTTTTATATGACAAGAATTCGAAATCCTGCAGGCCTTTGCACGAAATTACGATCTCAACAAATGATAAGCCTAAACTCCTATGTAAGGTAATTAAGTATCAGTTCTTTTACTTACAAATACATTTATATGTTTCTTTAAGTTACTGTCTTCTACTCTTCTTTCTTCTTTCTTTCTTGTCAATGCAGAACCATGTGCCCATTCAATAGAAAATTTCTAATTTCTAGGCTTTTTTCTCCATACTGAATTTGGAGTAAAAAATGGCTTGCGTGGATTGATTAAAGCTCCTGAATAATTGAATATGTGTATAAAGATTCTTATAATGTTGGTTGTAGTACGTAGAGGAAGGGTGGAGAGCAAATATACATACACATAGTTGGTATCGTATGCAACAATTTCCCCGGTAAGCGCTTGCCGGGTAAGAGCCGTTACTTTCACTTACCATGTAAGACTGTTCATCCTTATTATTGCTCTTATCGGGTAAGATTCTTAGCCGTTGCGATGTTCACTCGGTAAGGTAAATGACCCAGAAAGCGCTTAATGGATAAGCGTTTTGAAAACGGCCCCTAAGAATATGATGTACTGGTCAAAGAGAAACCTTGTGAGGAAACCAAAAATTGAGCAACAAACAAACAGTCAGTTGATGCAAAGATCTAAGATCAGTTACATATTACGCTAATATTTGTTTCTTTACTGCTATCTTGATCATTGATTAGAAATTCCTGTTGTTCACCGGCTAAAATTGCACTATTATCCTATAAGATAAAGATGCTACAAACACTAAGCTGTTAAGCCCTTTACCAGAAAACACGTATTGTAACATTCCAAAATCTTTAATCAGCTTTTCTGTTTCCTTATATTTCTGCCATAGAAATCACAGTTTTCTACTGTTCTACTTGTATTCAGTTGACTTCACTGCTCTCTGAGATTGGCCTGAATATTCAAGAAGCTCATGCCTTTTCAACTACCGATGGCTACTCCTTGGATGTCTTTGTTGTTAATGGGTGGCCGTATGAGGTATTTCACTATTTTTTACTAATATTTATAAAGCATTGTACAGAAGTGGATACTTCTCATTTAATTCGGAATGGTTGTGGTTGCATGGATGTATGGATGAAGAAACATGTCATAACTTTCAATCTTTCATTTGGGCAATGCTAAGGGGCTATTTGGTTGGTTTCCCATTAAGTCCTGCATGAATAAAGCTATCTGTGTGGATTGATCTGTCTGTATAAATTGAGAAGGTTTTTGGTTATGAGGTATTCTCATAGATGGAAAGGGAGTGTTTTTAATTGGGAGGGACAAGTTTTGAAAAAACTTGGCTGTCTGCATAAAGCTCCCCTCTAGAAGCTTACTAAATAAGTCAATTTTCTATATCATTAAGCTACTGCCAAACAGTCATGTATAGCTAACCAAATAAGCAGTGAGTTGCGTTAAGCTCATTAAGCTACTAACAAACAGGCCCTAACTTATTTCCATATAATTATAGGAGACTAAGAAACTCAGAGATGTACTAGCAAAGGAAATACCAAGGGTCGAGGTACTCAACATGCTATCTTTAGGCACCAATGCACATTTTTACGACATCTTTTTTGTTTCTTATGTGTTGGAATTTACTGCAGGAGATACCTTGGTCAAAAAATTCACCAGTTTTGGAGACAAAGAATTTTCGAGAAAGTGTTCAGATGCCTGTGGATGGGGGTGATGTTTGGGAAATTGATGTTAAGCGGTTAAAGTTTGAATATAGGATATGTGGGGGGTCATATGGTGATTTGTAAGTTCAATTCGTTTACAGATTCTGCATCTGAAGTTCCATAATGTTTGTCTAATTTATTCTTTTGGTATACAGGTATAAAGGTACATATTGTACTCAGGATGTGGCTGTCAAAGCTCTCAAGGACGAGTATTTAAATGAAAATGTGCAGAGAGAATTTGCTCAGGAAGTCTATATAATGAGGTTCTTTACATTCATTACCTATAATAGATGGATTGTGCCTTGGGGGCCGTTTACCAAGCGCTTACCCAGTGGTAAGCGCTTACTGGCAAGAGTCACCGCCCTCGCTTACCTTATCGGGTACCATTCCCGGCCATCAAAATGGTTGTTGGTAAGCATTTATCGCCCGTTAAGCTGTGTAAGGGACCGTTCACTAAACACTTATCGGGTAAGTGTTTACTAATATCATTTTTCTTACCAATTGAGCATGACAAGGACCGAGAATCATACCTAGTAAGAGGCATAGCAAGGAGCAAGTGTCTTACCTCGTAAGTGAGAGAAAAGACTCTTACCCGTTAATTGCTTACTGGGTTGAAGATGCTTACCAACAATCCATTTTAATGGCCGAGAATGTTACGCGACAAGGTAAGAGAGGGTGATTTCTTTTGCCGGTAAGCACTTACTCAATAAGCGTTTGGTAAACGGCCCCGAGTCACCACCCTCACTTACCAGGTTAGACTCTGGACCCTTGCTTTGCCTCTTACTCTCGGTCCTTGCTATGCTCACCCGGTAAGGTTAGTGACCCGGTAGCGTTTGGTAAACGGCCCCGCAGTTTTCATCTAATAAACCGTTTCACTGCTTTCTTACTTACGCTTTTCTCTTTTCCTGGATTAGTTGCGGTCTTTCCTTAATTTGCATATAAAGACGTTTTGCCATAGGTCCATTGTTTCTAAGAAGCCTGACTTTCTTCAACTGACAGGAAAATTCGGCATAAAAACATTGTGCAATTTATTGGTGCATGTACAAGACCTCCAAACCTTTGTATCGTGACTGGTAATTCTAAATAATTCCTGTTCACCTTAGCGAAACATGCATGATAAGAGTTCTTTTGGTTCTTTTTAATCGTTTTCATGCTTTTGAAATATGAATTACGGGCTCTTTGATCTTGGATGTTGCTTCTGGTTTTCAGAATTTATGGCAGGTGGAAGCGTGTATAATTTCTTACATAACCAACGAGGTCGTTTCGATGTTCCAGCCATACTCAAAATAGCAACTCATGTTTCGAAAGGAATGAACTACTTGCACGAAAATAATATAATCCACAGGGATCTTAAGAGTGCCAACCTTCTGATGGATGAAAATGGAGTAAGCAAACTGAACTTCTTCTAAATAGCTTAAATTCGTTATTAAGGGTCTATTTCATAGCAGCTTAAGGAGCTTAATGGAACTCCCAGTTTGTTCAGTCAGCTATAGATTTAATCATATGGAAAATGACTTATCCAGTAAGCTTCTAGGGGAGCTTTATGCAGAAAACCAAGTTTTTCCGAAACCTGTCCCTCCCTATTAAAAATACTCTCTTTCCATCTATGAAATAACCGTCCCACACAAAAAACCTTCCCTATCTATATAGATAGATTAATCCACTCAGATAACTTTATCCATACATGACTTAGGGGCTGTTCGGTTGTGGCTTAATGGGATGTATAGCCTATATGGCTTATTCGCTCAGCCATAACTAGCCATTCGGTTGTGGCTTATTCGGTCGGTCCATGCTTATTTGGCCAACTATATATAACTGTTTGATAGTGGCTTAATGATATAGAAAGTGGCTTATTCAGTATGCAGAAAGCCAAGTCTTTTCCAAACTTGTCCCTCCCAATTAAAAACCATGTTTCTTCTATCTATGAAAAAACCCTCCCAAACAAAAACCTTTACAATAGATACAGACAAATTAATCTACACATACAGCTTTATCCATACAGGATTTGATGAAAAGCCAATCAAACAGCCCCTTGGGAAACCAAGCAAACAACCCCCAAGTCTCATGGGGATGTGGAAATCTCATCTTCCCTGGGTTTGAATCCATGTGCTGCCAAACCCTTGTGTCCATGTAGGTTCACCTGTGATGACTCCAGGTAATTCGTGATTCCCCGCGGGATTAGTTGGTGTGCATAAGCTGGTCCAGAATTCCGGATACCAATGGTTACCCCAAAAAGAACACGGGGGTTACAAGAGGCATGCATTTTAATAGTGTTGATCCCACAAACTCTACTGCATATTGCTCCAAGGTTATATCATTTGTTTCTGATATGGAAGTCACTGCTTGTCCAACAGATTGTAAAGGTTTCTGATTTTGGTGTGGCTAGAGTGCAAAATAAGTCCAGTGTTATGACTGCAGAAACTGGTACTTACCGTTGGATGGCTCCTGAGGTTGGTCTATATACTAAAACATGCATTATGTTTATACTTTCGGTTATCAAACGGCTTTTGCAACATAAAAAAGACTCTTAAGAAACCATATAAATTTCATATTCTAAACCCCCCCGACCACTTTTCACTAGTTTTCTGCATCTTTTATTGACATGTCTGTAAGTAAGCTCGTTTGTGTCCAAAAGCGGATATGAATGAAGCCAGCCACCATATGAACATTTGTTTGAACATATTTTTAGCTATTAATATCAACTGAAACCTGTGGGAGCTCAGTTGGCAAAAAGGCGGAGCAACTTTGCTCAAATACACAACAGTTTCAAGTTCGAATCCTATGGGAGACGAGCTTGAACCCCTGCGCTACCCTCAGCCATTGAGTCAGCTCTCAATGCCTCCACACATGTGGTTCCTAGGGGGCGGGTTCTGTGTGGACCGGTCAGGGTTGTTGGTAATCAATCTTTTTGCTCAAATAATAACTAGAACCAATTCTAACACCGAATAACAAGACACCTCAAATATTTGCGTTTTTTGATTCTTGGAAGGTCATTGAACACATGCCTTACAATCACAAAGCAGATGTCTTCAGCTTTGGTATTGTCTTGTGGGAGCTCTTAACACAGAAGGTTTGATTATTCTCTAATCTTTCTTTTTTCTGTATATAATAATGCCATTTTTTACAACCATAAGTTAGCTTATTTTTTGGGCTTATTGAAAAATTCCCGTTTGATAGACATAAACTAGCTTAGAGCATCTCCAACAAATTCTCTAAAATAGCAAAAATGAAGATTTTGTTCTCCAACAAATTCTTTATATCGTGCTCTAAAATAGAGAAAAGAAGAGAAATGTCCAAGTTTAGAGGTGAGGAGAGAGAAATGATTTTTTTATTGCCACAAATGACATTAAATTATTATTATTATTTACACCAAAGAAATTTAAAAGGTGTATTGGGATGATAAAATTATTGAATGTTTTAATGATATAATTAATGTTGAAATCTCTAAAATAGAGAATATGTTGGAGTTGAATCTATTTTTTAGGTTCTTTATGTTGGAGATGCTCATATAAGTCATAAGCTAGCTTTTTGAAACGTACTTTAGATAGCATTTCAATAAGCTCCCGAGGTTTTTTCCACTTTTTTGTCCCAATTATGCCTGTTATATTTCTCATAAATGACCAAAAAATCCTAGTTTTTAGGTATTTTACATTGTCATCTAGCTTCTCTGTTAGTTTCTACCAAATATGACTAGTTTATTGGCTAGCTTATTAACCATCAGCTAACTTATTAGCCAACAACTAGCTTTTCACTTAACATGTTAGCTTATCAACTAGCCTAAACTTAAGCAGGAAACCACAAAGTGAATGCAAACAAATTTTGTTCAAACATGTAGACTGAAAAATCTTGTCTACTGGTTAACATGGCAGCTTCCTTATGCAAACTTGACTCCTCTTCAGGCAGCAATAGGTGTGGTCCAAAAGGTATGTTTTCATAATTTGAGTTTCGTTTTCAAATAGCAAACTTATCGCACATGTGATGCGAGTCGTTTGATTGTTAAAGTAATGACCTAAATTCCAGGGTTTAAGGCCAGCAATTCCGAAGAATACTCATCCAGAAATTGTGGGATTACTCGAGCGATGCTGGCATCAAGATCCGTCTTTGAGGCCAGACTTTTCCGAGATCGTTACAATCTTGCTGCATTTGTCTAAGATGGTAAATATCAAACTAAATTGTAACAATTCGTGTAACATGGATAAATACTAGATTTATCAGCTCCTTATAACCTCAAGAGTAAATTACAATTTTCGTCCCTGTGGTTTGTTAATGATTTTTATGTTCGTCCTTGTGGTTTAGAAATTGCGGTTTTTGTTCCTATGGTTTGCTATTGTATTACTATTTTTGTCCCTGAACTAATTCCTACTTTTAAAGTACAAGGGACCAAAACAGTAAAGAATGGTAAATCACAAGGACCGTAACAACGATATATTGTAAATCATAAGGATAAAAACAGCAATGAATTACAAGCTATAGGGACGAAAACCACAATTTTTAAACCATAGGGATGAAAACCACAATTTTTAACGAACCACAGAGACAAAAAATGTAATTTACTCTAAGCTCAAAGTCGTAGGTTACCAATAACTTCCACCATGGTTTTAAGTTGATTCGGAGGTTATTCGGCTAATACGTTGCTTTAGGCTATAGGGTGTTACAAATGGTATTAGAGGCGATCCTTGTACCATCTGGATGATGGGGAAAACCTCATTGAACATGATGAGTCCCTGAGGGGAGTGTTTGTAACATTTTAGGCAAATCCCATGTCGCCGATGTACAAGGAGGAATGCTGGGAAGACTTGATGAGGACATTGGGAATATAAGTTGGAAAGTCTGTAATAATCTGTCCCACATCGATAAAATACTATATTTGTTGGCTCCACCATCTCCAACCCAACCACTAAAATAAAGAACACTAAAAATGGTGGGTCCATTAAACATAAAAAAAAATCAACTCCAACCCCACACTAAAACATGTTTATATATTATAATAATAGTAAAGTAATATATGTGGTTATATATATGTATATATAACTATCAAATCTCATTATAATATTAATATAAAAAAATAGAGGTCTACTTTGTTGAATTCCAGATATGGAGGCATACTTTATTAACCTCTCTTTTTTTTTTTTTAGTGTTTTAGTGTCAAGTTAGAGATGAAAACACCCTTTTTTTTTTTTTTTTTGGTGTTTTTAGTGTTGGATTGGAGATGCGCTTATAAGCTTAAATTTGTAGGCTACCACTAACTTCAATCATGGTTAATGAGTCGGCCTGTTGTTTTGGGCTATGGAGCATTACAATGGAGGTCCTGGGAACCCCCAAAAAATGAAAAATTGAGGAACATGCCAATAACTGTTCATATGTACGGTATGAACATGTGAATACCGTACAGATAAATGGTTACTAAGGCGTTATTCAGTTTTTCATTTTTTTACGTTTTTCCTGTAACCTGACTATCAATGACATAATATTTGCTTTGCATTTCAAGAAATCATTTGTTTTCCTATCTATATATAGGTAGTCGAAGAGAAAAGATCTATCAAGAGAAGAAATATCATAGAAGGTGTCTCTCGACCGGATGATGCATGAGCGTTCTTGCTACCGTTTCCACGTCCAACTTGAATAGCACGTAAGTTAACAGGTTATCAATAATTTAGCATGTTAGTTGTATATTCGATCGTTTCTAGCTCTGGAAAAATGCAACATAAAAGAGCAAATTTCCAGTAGCTTTAGAGTTTGGTATAAAAGTTGTTTGTGGTTGTTGGTTTGATGTATAAATATGTAAGCAGATTTGGACAAACACTTTGAATTTATGATATATATATATATATATATATATACACATATTTGACATCTTTATGAAACAATGTTATGTTTGTTGGATGGCAACCAAAACTAGTTATGTTACTGGTTGACATTCATTGGATGCGAGGGGAACCAAACCAATCCAATTATCTATTGGATGTTGAATTTTGTCAACCGATCCGATCCGATTAGTATTGGATAACTGATCCAATCTAATCCGATGGATGATTAGATCGGTTCGGTCCCATCCGTTGGATATTTATGATCCCATGGGATTGGATCCATCCAATGTCTTAATTTAATCCAATTATCTAACAATGATACAAATTAATCATTTTTAATATGTGTTAAAACAAACACAAGAGAAGTTAAAAATTCAAAGTCTTACATAAAACAAATTCCGATTTAAAGCAATTTGAAAATAAATTAATTGGATAATGGTTGGATGAACAACTGGATGATCATGGGATGATTATTTGGATGTTGATCGGTTCGTTTTGGTTTTGGTCGGTTCTAGACTACCATCCTAGAACCGACCGATTCAAATTAGATGTTGAAAATTTTTAATTTGATCCGTTGCAATTACAATTGGATATCCAAATATAGTCGGTTTGATTTTCTGCAAACATCTGACTAAAATCATCAAAATGATTCCACAAATAAGAGTAAATTATGTTTTTCATCCCTATGGTTTATTAAAGATTGGAACTTTTGTCCTTGTGGTTTTGAAGATGTGCTTTTCATCCCTATGGTTTACATTCCATTGCTATTTTCATCCTCGACTCCTACATTAAGTATGAGGGATAAAAACTGTAGTAAATTATAAGTACGAAAGCAACAACAAATTAGAACCATAGGGATGAAAATCATAATTTCAAAGCACCAGATGAAAATAACAATTTTCAACAAACCACATGGACAAAAAACGTAATCTACATTATAAATAATAAGTCCAACGTTGTTTTTAAGAAAAAGACAACTTTTTGTATGGGTTTTCAAGAAAGAAAACTGCATAAAAATTAAACCAATTTTGTATTGATTTTTATTTTATGGAATCAACTTTCAAAATCTTTATTTTAAGGTTTTGAGCAAATTTCTCGTATATTTAAAGGTCTCGTTAATAATACTTTGATGAAAATGAGCCATTTTCCCCTGAAATAAGAATAACAGCAAATTTGATTTCAATTTAATGTTACAAAAGATACAATGAAAGTGAACCTCCTTTTCTTTGCCTTCTGTAGCCTTTTTTTTTTTTTTTTTTATATATTGATGCAAGATTACCAATATATCCGGTCTAAACTTCTAAGACTGACCCTTAAGCCTTCTTTGAATGTTATTCGGACTCGGCTTGCCTGTAACCTCCCCTAGTGGTTGGTTCCTCTCTTTCCTCTCCCTTTTTTCTTCCTTTCTTTCCTTTTGGGAGCCTTGGTTTCTTTTCTGGTGGATGTAGTTCGTCCCCACCCGAGTGCTTAATTTGTTTGTGTTTTTGGTTTTTTCTCTTGATAGGAGGGTATTTGAATCGTTAAAAGATAAATCTTGTTTGACAAAAAAAAATATGTCTTCTTAATGGTTATAAAACCCTCTGAATGGTTTTGTATCATGTGTCTCCCTTAACCATTTAACACCTTAATTTCATTATAAACAATTACCAAACAATTATATTGCATTTTACATTATATCATAAAAGTCTTTTAAAATCATTTTGATCACTTAATCATTTTGCATCTCTTATTCGATAAAATATAAGTGATAAATAAATGGTATTTGCGGGAAAGAAAAAAAAACAAAAAGCACCCAAACGATGCTACATTAACCGAAGCAAACAGCCCAACGCCAAAGATTTTCTTTTTTTTTTAAATAAAAATAAAAATAATATTCTTGAGTAAATTACGTTTCACATCCTTGTGGTTTGTCAAGAATTGCAATTTTCGTCCTTCTGGTTTCAAAATTGTGGTTTCCATCCCTATAGTTTGTAAATCATTACTACTTTTATCCCTCGGCCTAACACATACCTTTAAATATACAGGACTAAAACAACAAAGTATTATATACCACAAGCAAGAAAACAAAAATAGGTTACAAACCATAAAAATGGAAATAATAATAAGTTGTAAATCATAAAAATGAAAATCGTAAATTTAAAAGCTGAAAATAGCAACTTTTAACAAACTACAAGGATGAAAATCGTAAATAATTACTCTTTATTTTTTTAAAGCATTTTTCCCCTCACAAAACATTGTGAACTATACATTATTGGCCCCTATGGTATACCCAAATTCTAGATCAAGTCCCTCAAATGCATTAAATACACCAATAATCCTTAAACTTTTGTTTTTATAACAAAATGATCCCAGAATTTTGACACTGCCAAGGGTCTTTTCCGCATACATCTCTTAAGATAAGGATCTGTTTACCAAACACTAATCGAGTAAGCACTTACCGGCTCACTTACTTTATCGTTTAAGCATGACAAGAACCGAGAGTCTTAACCGATAGAAGGAATGTCAAGGACCGACAATCAAGCCCGGTAAGTGAGGGTGGTGATTTTTACCCAGGTAGCTTTACCGGGTATAATTATTGCCTACCATGTCATTTGATGGCTGAGAATCTTAACCAATAAGGTGAGTAAGAGTGGTGACTCTTAGGAGCCATTTGGCCAGGTAAGCACTTACCAAATCACTTTAGCTTTACCAGATTAACATTGCAAGCGCTAGAATTTCACCTAGTACGAGGCATTGAAGCAAGGCAAGGAACGAGAGTCTTACCGCTAAGTGAGGGTGACAACTCTTAATGGTAAGTGCTTACCATGTCACTTACCTTACCAGATTAACATGGCAAGGGCCGGAACGTTACCAAGTAAGAGGCAAGGCAAGGAATGAGGGTCTTACCCAGTAAATGAGGGTGACGACTCTTATCAGTAAGCATTTACCAGGTAAGATTGTTACATTACATCCGATGCCCTTTCATGGCCAAGAATCTTATCTGACAATGTGAGTGGTGACTCTTTCCCGATAAGCATTTTGGTAAAAGACCCCTTACCCAGTAAGCACTTTACCCGGTGAGCGTCTGGTAAAACGACCCCTAAGCTTATATAAAACCACATTCATCATGCATTAAACATCGGATTCAACCTAGGAACTAGTTTCTCAATTATATCAGTATTAGTCTACAAAAGTAAACACAAATCCAGACAAGATTTAAATTAGATTGAGATTAAGATGCTAAAGTGGAAAGCAGCGGATCAAAAATTTCGGCGAACAAAACGAAGGAAATAAATAAAGAATGAGTTAGTTAAAACAACATATACACAATTAGAAGCAGCATTTAACTAACTCGATAATCTTCATGCAGGAAGCTTTCGTAAGGGGTTCCATTTAGTACCTTTTGGATATCGCTCCAGTTTTCAACCTGCTCGTGCAAAGGGCCTTTGTGTATCTTCACCTGCCGGCTCTTTAGCTTCATTCGTGGGATCCTAAGAAAATCTTGAACGTCGTTCAATACCTGCAAACGACCAATTCTTTTAATTCACAACTACCAAAAAACAAACCAAATGAACCCTGTATATCCCACCCGACCCCGTGAATACCCTTGGCTTGTAAATTACCGGCGACCAAAGAAACACACAGAGACTAAAATTGTTGAACGTCTTACGCTGCGATTCTTGATTATGTCCTCGTAGTAGAGGATAATATGTCGAGTGCTATTGAAGTAATCCAGTGCTTGTTTAACCATGTTGTCGGCTTGTTTCAGCTCGGGTATCAGCAATGTTGTATTGATTGAGGGCCTGTAACTTGCTAGAATTTTAGCCTGACATTATACCAGATTTTTTTTAGTAAGTCAATGTCCATACGGGTCCGTTTGCTACATGGAGGGGACGGAACTGACAGGACATGACTTAACGGGCGAGAGTGAGGTAGGTGGGGTGAAAGAATTGTAGAAGGTTTTAGGGTTTTAATTTGATATGGGTAGATTAGTAATTTACCAATATTGTCCTACCTCCCTATTTTGATGGGACAGGAAAACTACATTTTTGTCCCCATTCAGATACAGTCTAATGTCGCACCAAACGTGGTATGATAAGTTTTTGTCCTGTCATGTTCTGTCTTGTCCCACATACCGAACGCACCTTACATGCACACACACATGACACACCCAATGGACACACACAGACCTCATCGGGGGAATGCACATGGGATTTGTGTTTCCCGTTTAGTGGCTTAGCACTTTGGTCATAAGCATTTGCAAGTATCGAGATTCTTCTACGAAGAAGATTTCTTCTAAAAAGAAAGATAACTGAAACTCCCTTAGTTTTAAAGTATTCTGTTATTGCTTCATGATTCTGCAGAAAACCCTGAAACAAAATCAAAGTTAAGCAATCCCTAAATTTAAATATAATTAAAAAAAAGGTCAAGGCAACAATAATAAAATCATCTACATGCAAGACAAAATATTGCATCTCAAACTTAGTTGGAAAATTGGCAGTAGTGGTTACCCGAGTGGTTGGTTATTAAGGCATACAATAACTTGTTTATCAAATAACCATTGTAATTTGCACCTCTATCCCAACAAATCAATGAGGTCCATGCAAAGTGCATGGCCATGGTCAGGCCATCAGGTGTGGCACTTAAGAAGTTGATAACACCTACAGACATACATAGCTAAAGGGTGGTCATTTGGCAAGGATTGTTGCATGAAATGGACAGCATAATCTTTCTTATTGAGAGCATGGGAGAGACGATGAGATTAGAGAAACCACCAGCCAACAAGTTAACAAGTTACATTGGCATAGACCAAATAGTTGGAGAGAATTTGGTGATCTTTCCCAGCTTACCCAAATCCCTCTGACAATGTTGATGTATCGAAACTAAATGTGGGGACCTTTCGCTTAGTCGTTTTTTGATACAAAGGTGGAACATTGTTCCATGGACAAGCATCTCGTATGTACATCTGGTGAGGATTTTTGGGTTACAGAACCTGTGAATATGATTGACGGTAGTTTAACGAAGATATATACTGATGTGGTGCAAGTTAAAAGAAACCTGGAGTTCATTGATAATTTGGTATATCACTTTGAGGTTGCTAATAGCTTGCAAAGCACCATTCATATTGTAAAATTCGTGTTATGAAGCATCTACCAAGGAACTGATTCATTTCCGAAAGAATCTCAAATAAGAAGGTAGGTCCATCTTGTGGATGTATTGAAGACAAAAGACTTAGAAAGTGCTAATAATGAATGAAGAGTCCAGTACATATAACATAAATTCAAGCACACTTTGCTCTTTTTTGCATCCATGACCATTAGTACTGTTGTTTATTTGTCAATTAAAATACAAGACCAGGGGTTTATTATAGTTTTTGCTATTCTAAGATCATTGGTTACAATGAGCCATCTTACACTTCAGCAACATTTCTGCAGCCTACAATGAACTATATACATAAAGTCCAAACAGGTCCTGCATTCTGGTGATTTCTATTGACATATTTGTTAGCATGATTGTGATCATCTGCATGCAATGTGACTTTATTATTATAATTATATATTTGTGGTGTTAAATAAAAGCGAGACACAAAATAATTTTTAAGAAGGAACACCAGGGATAACAATTCACTCTATTGAATGGAATGTATCATTCACACAGTGGCTAGATTGCATATCCTACTTGGTGCCAAATTTTATACCACCTGATGCATATCTTTATTCAAGGATTAGATAGTTATAAAACGAAACGTACACATGGTTTATATGAGAATTACGTAGATTGGATGCCACAAACTTAAATGGTATAGTTCCAAGACAGTGCGCACCTGATTAAGCATCCACTTCAAGCCCACTGCAGCTGTGCACTCGTTCTTGGATGCACTTGTCAACCAATCAAGATCATAAATTTTGTCTAAAGTATCCACAATTGTTGACATGTTGCTTCTCCGTGGTTTAACTGAGAATATCTCTCCATTGGAGCTTACATTTGTATGACTATTTAATAATGTCTCAAACCATCCACTTCCAGATCTCTGTGTTGAAGAGATAACAAAGTATCGAACAGGATTGCATGCACACTCGGCCCTAGTTATACCCCAAAGCAAAAATATCAGTTTCTTCTGCTAAAACAAGTAAGAATGAAATCTGAACCTCAAGAAGGAAAGCATACCGATTAAAAGTTGCAGGTTTGGGGAAATGCACATAAGACCTTTCCCATTTTTCAATGTTGGGCATCTCGCAAGGCCGCGCAACCATTTTCGTATCAATGTAACCGGCCTTGGTGAAGTTGCTAATTTGTTTTAGACCAATTGAACACATGAAAACCCCACATACCATAACAAATGCCACTAAACATATTCTCAACACCAAGTAGTTTTTTACTGGAGCTCTAATGATAAGCATATCCTGAAATTCAAAAATTTGGAGAAATCAGACAAGGAAAATCATCATTCCAAATGTAAGACTCCCTCCACCCAAAAAGCATTGCAATATTTCCTTTTTTCAGTAAGATCCCAATCCAAATTTACATTTTTGCCCATTAGGAACCACAAAGAAAAAAACGGTGATAAGAAGTAATCCATTTAATAGACTCATTAGATGGATTCATTAAAGACTACAAGAGGGCTAGAAATGCCTATACCATCGAATAGAATAGATGTATTCTAATGAACTCGGATACACACTTGACAAAAAGTCAATTCACATGAAGGTTTTTAATGTTTGTTTTGTTCTGGCAGCAAAGAATAAAACCTAAACTCATAGAACAGGTTCCGTGTTCAATGAAATCAAAGCAGGGAAAAGAGAGGTTCTGTAATGAGAGAAACTGAATCAAGCATACCTTAATGAAAAAGCATAAATCATCAGCCATTATTTGTTGAGCGAGTTCAAAATGGAAGAGAAAGGGAAATCATCTCGTAGCTCAGATAACAATTTCCCCTTTCCCAATTCTTTCTTGCTCCATTCATGTTTTCCCCATGTTGAATCTTCTGGTTCACGTCAGTATGCCTAGAGATAGAAAGAAACGAAAAGAATAGTGTCTTTTCACGAGAATAACAAAGTTACTAGATGCTCTTTTGAACTGCTCGACCTCTTTCCTTTTTATCCTCTCTGTTCTGTCTCTTCTTGAATTTATCCCAGTTTCCTATAAGATCGACAGACAACTAGTTCGAAAGATGCTGCAAATCGATAAATCAAAACCCTGTTAGGGCTCAAATCGACCTTCAAAAACCTGAAATCAAACAACATAGGAGCTCAAGTAAACCTCACAAAACCTGAAATCCAGAGTCAAATTCGAAAAATTAAGAAGACAAAAACAAGGCAATCAAGGAGTACTAGGAAGAGAGATAAAGCCAGTAGGTGCGTCCATGGAGGTGAGAAACATAAAAGGAAGGTTTCTTCCTTCTTCCTGCTTTCAGGATGTGGAAAGGGATTCCGTAATGGTGATTATGAAACAAACATCAATGATAAAAGAGGTATAATAAGGAATCATCAAGGCCACAAGTAGTCAAAACCAAATCAAAATTTGCATCCAGAGGTACCGAAAACTGATCCTAATTCACCACGTGATAAGATGATATCATATTTCTCTTGATAATCAAACAAATACTTCTCCACGTTCCTGACGTTGATTCAGCTCAATCAATCTCTCCATTGTTCATGTCACCCCCACCCAAGTTTCACTGAAAAAAAGAAGCAAAAAGACAATGAATGGAGTACCTTCAATTGTGAATGAGTTGATGATATCAATCCATTGATGAGTGACCGCTTACAAGTGTTGTTCTTCGTTCTGGTTGCTCGTTACTGCTGCCGATCGCACTGGAGATCTCTTCTCAGTTCTCAGTGTTGAACTCCGACTGTTTAGGGGGGCTTCCTGTAAATATCGTGGCCTTCTAGAGCCCAGCCCGGCCCGGCCCAAAAGCGGGTTTGCTACGTGGGACCTGACACCTGAGGGAGAAAATACAAAAGAAAGAAAATCGGGTAAATTACATTAAAAAAAAGTAACCTATTTTAATTTGATTTTTTATTTTAGTAACGTATTTTTAAAACTTTTATTATTGTATCTAAAATGTAAAGTTTTAAACATTTAAGTACTCGAGTAACCGGTTGAAGATGAATTTTAGAATAAAAAAAAGACTAATTTTAGATTAAAAAAATGCATGTCACTAACCACGTCAGCAAATAATATTGAGTTTGAATCTAATTCCAAATTCCATCAAACCAAACGACGCCTAAGAGAATTGGGACGAAACCGAATCATGATTTCCCGAATCAAATAACCAAGACCACAAAAGAGTACGAGTTCTTACTGTACTTTATTGAGTCAAACTTTATCGAGTTCGAATATAAAATTTAGTTTGAAACATATAAGAAGTCGAGTCTGAGTTTAGAAAATCTCGACTCGAACTCTACCCTATGTATACGTCAATATTTTTTTTTTTTTGTCAAGCTTGCTTTATTAAACATAGTCTGTACGTATTCTCGAGCTACTTGAATTGAGATGGCTTTATCGAGCATAGTTTTGATTATGTTTTCGAGCTCTTGAATGGAACTTGAGTCTTTTGAGAGAAGAACCTCAAATTACTGAATCATCAAGTCAGGGATGAACCTAGAATTTCTTTTTCGAACAGTGACACCATTTGACTAAAAAAATGACACCAACAAGATTCAAACTTGAGTCTAGGGTGGAATAAAAGTCTTGCAAACCAACTTTACCAAATAAAATTTGTTCTCATTGTAGTTTCAAAATACATATGGTGGCACACAACAAATTAATACGGTTGCATCTTTCACAAACCTAAATTTTTTTACCCTTCGATGGAGGAATAACGTGCCACCATATGCCCTATAGTAGGTCCGTCCATGCATCAAGTCCAAGCTCAGTCTAACAATATCAAGCTTGTCTCTGCTCGTTCAAAATCTTATATCAAGCATCACGTCAAGAGTAAAAAAACGATATGTGTCTTTTTAAACAGTTAAATAAAAATCGTTACAAGCTTTAAATCACTCGTTTTAAACAAAAATTTAAAAATATCGAACGAATTTTTTTATATTATCATATACGAAATAAGTTCGTTATAAATATATAAAGTTAGAAATGGTCATCATAATTCATAATGGTATGGCACTCCTTGGATTCCTTTTCTCTTTTGTGATTTTGAAATCTATAATGGTCGTTGGAAGAGCACTACCAATTGAAAATGGAATGCACAACTTGTAAAGATAAGGGTTGTTTGATAGTTGTTGAATGATTTGATACAGAATGATAAAAAGACTTTTATGATATAATCTAAAATGAAATATAATTGTTTGGTAATTGTTAAGAGTAAAATTAGGACGCTGAATAGTTAAGAAAAACTCAAGATACAAAATCGTCCCGAGGGTTTTAAAACCATTAAGAGGCAGACTTTTTTTTGTCAAACAAGATTTACCTCTTAATATAAAGGTTTTTTTTTAATAAAACTATTAAAGAGATAAAAAAACGACCCATAAAACACAAATAACTTCCAATAACATTAAATGGTGTCGTTTTACTACCTATATAATAATTCTCTTTTTGTTTTGGGTATGCATACCCATGTTTTGTAGGCCTCTCATTATTTGTTATACCAAGACACTCTAATCCAAAAATATAACAAGCCAAAACCAAAAGAGTGGTGTCTGATTAGTTTGAACTTAGCTTTAAAAGTCAAAAATACCAGGATGTATCATGTTCAAATCCAAAGAGGTATAAAAATCCTCTTATGACCACAGAAGTTCAAATGTGGTAACTCTGGGCTATCTGCAAAGCAGGTGGTCGTCCTGAGATTAGTCGGCTCGCATAACGGGTTGAATATCCAAGTTAATAAAAAATATAGCAATCAAGTGTAGACCCAATAAGAAAGGGTTTGTTTTCTGACTCGGTAGGTGTTTTCCCAGACACTTGATAACATCCACAACGTGGGCTTTTAGAGGTTTTCCATCAGATGTCGTGACGTAACGATCTTCTTTCAAGAAATTTTTCGTATTTAATTAATTTTAACTTTATAGAACTTTATAAAAGTTACAAGGGTCTTTGGCATAGCAGTATGTTAGTCTTTGACCTCCTAGGAGGTCAGGGGTTCAAACCTCACAAAATGTGAAGAGGGTGTATGAGTTTATTTGTTCAATTTGTCATGTATAAATATTATATACTTTAAAAAAATTATAAAAGTTATGAATTTAATCATTTTTATTTATTAATATAATTAAATTAGTCTATATGTAATGCATGTCTTATCAATGTATCTAAATAAATAATTTGTGTGAAATTAAAAGTAATAATATTTTCTCGACATAAATAATCATGTATTTGTATAAATCTTGATATATTGATTTTTATAAATAAAAATAGAATTGATATAAAATAAAATTGTGGGACCCGGAAATTTTGATAAAAAGCTTCAGAGAGATTTCTAATACAACCGATAAATATTGAGGTTTTTTAAGTTGTTGAGTTGGCTATGATATGACAAGAAAAACACTGTGAATAACCTTAAAAGTGAAAACAAGCATTAAAGAAAGCTTTAACAGAGGGAAAATTGCATGAAAAAAATAACGTACTTTAACTTGATTTCTATTTCGGGTAACGCACTTCCAAAACTTTCATTTTGGTACCTAAGATGTAAAGTTTTAAACATTTAAGTACCCGGGTAACTGGTTGAATCATTAAACGGTTACCATGTTGATGTGGTATCCAACTCAAGCGTTGTTTGACAGTTGTTGACTGGTTTGGTGCAAAATGATTAAGAGACTCTCATGATATAATGCAAAATAAAATATAATTGTTTACAATGAAATTAGGGCGCTAAATGGTTAAGGAAAACCCAGGATACAAAATCATTCAGAGGGTTTTAGAACGATTAAGAGATCGATTTTTTTTTTTTTTTTGCCAAACAAGATTCACCTCTTAACAATTTAGAGGTTGTATCTTAATGGAACTATTAAGAGGTAATCAAACAATCCCTCGGTATTATTTACTGAAGCATTAACCGGATACCACATCACTCGCCACATCAACCGGTTACCAAGGTACTTAAATACTTAAAACTTTATATCTTAGGTACCAAAATAGAAGTTTTGAAAGTACGCTACCCAAAATCGGAATCAAGTTAAAGTACGTTACTTTTTCATGCAATTGCCCTTTAATAAACAACAATTTTCAGTCGTCGCTTACCCGAACAATGCTCTTACTCGGTTAGTGTGTTGATACATGTTTTTTTTTCCTAAATGAATCATAAAGATTAGATGTCAAATCTAGAAAAAATATGCAATGCATGCATAGTGTTGTCAGTAAACAATGAAGAAGCAGGCTTGATACCTGAACAAGCAATGCAGATTGCAGTCTGCCATTATTAACACCTCTAACCCACAAATTCAATGCAGCCATCAACTAACAGTCCTTTTCTTGCCTTCCTCATGAAGTTGAACAGTATACCATATGTGCTGTTTCGCTTTCGATTCATAAGAAACAAGATCTAGAGCGGAATGCCGAAAATGGATGACCAAAACTTTATCGGATCCCTCTGGTCTGCAAATCCAATTAGATACAAGTTAAGTTACTTGATCATGTATAAATGCACAATTGTCATTTTGCTTTAGATTTAGGGGTCATTTACCAAACACTTGCTGAGTAGGCGCTTACGGCTTATTGGGTGAGCATGACGAGGGCCAAGATCTTACACGGTAAGAGGCATAGCAAGAACCAAGAATCTTATGCGGTAAAAAAGGGAGAAGACACTTGGTCACTTAGGGCCTGTTTGTTAGCAGCTTAATGGGCTTACAGTTTATTCAGTCAGCTATACATGACTGTTTGGTAGTGAATTATTGATATAGAAAGTGATTTATTCAATAAGCTTTTACGAGGGAGCTTTATGCAAAAAACCAAGTTTTTTTCCGAACATCTCCCTCCCAATGGAAAACATGCTACTAAAGGGCCTTTGGCCTAGCAGTATCGTAGCCTTTGGCCTCCTAGGAGATCAGAGGTTCAAACCTCACCATATGTTTGGGGGGGGGGTGAGTTTATTTGTTGCGTCTGTCTTATATAAATATTATATACCTAAAAAAAATGAAAAACATGCTCCTTCCATCAATGAAAAACTCACCGAAACAAAAATCTTCCAAATCCATACAGACTAATTAATCCACACTGACAGTTATCCATACAGGACTTGATATAAAACCAACTAAACAGCCTCTAACCTGGTTAGCGCTTATTAGATAAGAAATGATTACCAACAATTCAATTTGATGGCCGAGAATGTTACCCAATAATGTAAGTGAGGGAGGTGACTCTTACTGATATGTAAGCGCTTACCAGGTGCCACTTACCTTACCGGGTGAGCGTGGCAAGGCCAAGAATCTTACCCGGCGAGAGAGAAGATTCTTATCCAGTTAGTGCTTGAAAGTAATCGTGTTTTCCTTTTATTATCTTTTATATACATCAACCGAATATATATACAACTGAGAGGCTACAAATTAGGAAATGATCTCCACTCATTTAGGGGTGATCAATGACATAATAAACATCCTAAAATAAATGAGGCTAAACTCAGAAATAGCTAATTTACAGCTAATACACCCCCTCAGTCTGAGCAGTGTAGGGACGAATGCACAGACTGGACCGAAAACGGTTGAATAGRTGACGCGGAAGCCCTTTGGTGAAGATGTCGRCGTATTGAAAATCGGCTGGAACATGTAAAACTCGGACAACACCAATTCGGACCTTTTCTCTAACGAAGTGAATATCGAGTTCCACATGTTTTGTACGCTGATGTTGTACGGGATTGTCAGATAAGTAGACAGCCGAGATATTGTCACAATAAACAATCGTAGCCTTGCGAGCGGGAACATGAAGTTCAAGAAGTAAGTTGCGCAACCAGCTCGTTTCGGCAACTGTATTTGCAACTCCACAGTATTCGGCCTCGACGTTGGATCGAGGTATGGTCGGCTAACGTTTTGACGACCAGGAAACCAAATTATCTCCTAAGAAGACACAGTATCCGGAAATGGAGCGCCGCGAATCGGGGCACCCCCCCAATCGGCATCAGAATAGGCAATAAGATTCATTGATTTGGAGGGTGAGATATGGAGACCATACGTAATTGTTCCTCTAAGGTAACAGAGTACTCGTTTGAGGAACTGGAAGTGTGGATCTCGTGAGGCATGCATGAATAAGCAGATTTGTTGTACTGCATAGGTAAGGTCCGGACTCGTGATGGTAAGATACTGTAACGCACCTGCCAACTGGCGATAATGTGTCCCATCAGGTAGAAGTTGACCACTTGTGGCACTCATTTTGGGGGAAGTGTCAACAGGAGTGGAACTAGGCTTACAATCTGCCATATGAGCTCGAGATAGGATCTTAGAAGAATAATTTTCTTGAGAAAGAAATAAGCCGCCGTCTTTGCGAGTAACATTGATCCCAAGGAAATGATGAAAGGTACCTAAATCTGACATAACAAACTCACGAGATAAAAGAGCAATTATATCAATGAGAAGACGGTCATTAGAGGCCGTGAGAACGATATCGTCAACATACAGCAGCAAGTAGGCCATGTCACTTCCCTTTTTGTAGACAAATAGGGAAGTATCACTAACGGTATTCCGAAAACCACACTTAGTGATATAGGTGGCAAATCTGTCATACCACGCGCGAGGGGCCCGTTTGAGCCCATAAAGAGACTTGCGTAACCTGCATACATAATTAGGGTGAGTGGCATCGGTGAATCCCGGAGGTTGAAACATATATACCGTCTCATTTAAGTCCCCGTGGAGAAAAGCATTTTTAACGTCGAGTTGGTGAATGGACCAACCCCGGGAAATAGCGAGACTGAGCACCATTCGAACTGTGGTCGGTTTGACTACGGGACTAAATGTTTCATCACAATCGATGCCGACCTGTTGACATTTCCCGTTAACGACCAATCGGGCCTTGTAGCGTTGTAAGGTGCCATTTGCGTTAAACTTGTGACGAAATAACCATATGCACCGGATAATGTTCGCATCAGGGGGCCGAGGTACCAAGTCCCACGTGTGATTGTCCATTAGAGCTCGATATTCTTCATTCATGGCATCGCGCCAGTGTGGATCGGAAAGGGCTTTGATGTGGGAATTTGGTATGGGAGAAGGTGAAGTATGTGTGTCTGTATGTAGGTTAAGAGAAGAGGCAGAAGTTGTTGCTCGGGAACGAGTGATCATGGGGTGGGTTGATGCGGGTGGCGGCGGCGGTGGAGGTGGTGAAGGGGGTGACGGTGGTGGTGGTGCAGCGGTTGAAGAGGGCTGCGAGGAGGTTGTCGGGACATGTGTATTTCGACGGTGGTAGGTATGGATGATAGGAGGTTGTTGGAGAGTGGGAGATGGGGAAGTGTGTTGGGTAGGTGGTGGGGAAGTGGCTGCTGGGTCAAAGATGGTAGGAGATGGATCAGATTCGAGGAAGGAGTAGTCAGATGGAGTAGTGGGATGTTTAACAAAAAAAGGAAAAGAGGTCTCGTCGAAAATGACGTGACGAGAGAGGAGGATCTTGCCAGAAAAGAGGTCAAGGCATCGATACCCACGAAAGTTGGCGGGGTTATCCAAGGAAAACACGAGTGGAGCGATGTTCCAACTTGTGTTTCCGAGTCGCAGTCGTGTTAGGATAACAGGCACACCCGAAAACCCAAAGGTGATCATAGGAAGGGTGTCGATGATAGAGGGCAGTCAAAGGGGTGGTGAATTTTAAGAGTTTGGTGGGGAGAATGTTGTGGAGATAGCACGCGGTATGTAAGGCTTCAACCCAGAAATGGGGTGGGAGAGATGCGTGTGTGAGAAGAGTGAGCATGATCTCGTTAAGTCTACGAATCATACGTTCAGATTTCCCATTCTGTTGGGAAGTATGAGGGCAAGAGAAACGAAAATGAAGACCGTTTGTTTCAGCAAAAGATTTGAAATTTTGGTTATCGAATTCACCCCCTAAGTCACATTGGAAATCTTTAATTTTGAGACTGAATTGGGTGTGGATGTATTTATGAAACTGAGAAAATTTGGAAAAAGTTTCAGACTTGAATTTGAGCGGAAAAACCCAAGTATATTGCATGAAATCGTCAATTAAAACCATGTAATATTTATAACCTGCTTTGCTAGGGATAGGAGATGTCCATAAGTCGCAATGCACAATATCAAAGGGTAAAATAGTAATAGACGTAGAATCAGAAAACGGTAATCGTTTGTGCTTTGAAAGTTGACAAGAATTGCAAACAAAAGATTTATTACGTTTAGAACATGGAATAATGTTATTCGAACTAAGAACATCTAAGACAGGAGCACCGGGATGTCCCAGGCGATCATGCCAAAAATCTCGAGCACTGGAGGTGAAAAAGGTGGCGTTAGTGACCGGATACGAGAAAGGATAAAGACGAGTGGAGCTATTGTGACGGGACAACATCTAACCACTCTGGTAATCCTTCACAGAAAACCTATTAGGATCAAATTCAATGGACACATTATTATCAACAGAAAATTTACGAACGGAAATGAGGTTCTTAATGATGTTGGGAGTGTAAAGAATGTTGTTTAGGTGAAGGTTACGTGTGGGCATGGGAATGATGGAGGAACCCGATCCACGAACTGGCACAGAAGCACCATTACCAACAAATATCGAGCCAATGGGACAATTTAACGAAGGTGTAGAAATCTTACCTTGGTCACCCGTGAGATGGTCAGTTGCACCTGAGTCCATGTACCATTGATCATCAACCGGGTCCATGGTCATCGTTTGAAGTGCTTCACCAAGCTGAGTTGGCTCGAGAGGATCAAAGGTAGATAGATTGGCTTGGTTCGCCGCTGGGCCAGAAGGTCTTGGGCCGGACCTGTGATGTGTAGGTGGACCGGGAGGCGCGGGCCAGACTGGCATAGAAGATCTACCCCATGGGGAGGCCCATCCCGGGTTGGTGGGATACGGACATGGCGGAGGGTTCCAATAGGCCCAATTGGGCAGCCGAGTGGGCTGAGTGTTCCACGGCGCATGAGCTGATTGAGGCTGGCCGGAACCACGCCTAGTGGCTGTTGAGGAGGATCCGCTGGAGGAGTTATTGGGCCGCCTATGTCCGGGCCTGTTGTTGGGGCGTCTTCTGTTGACAGGATTGGAAGGATCGGGCTGAGGTTCTGCGGATACGGTAGCCATGGCAGTTGGTGTAGTCATGGTTTCTCCGGCAGTCTGTCGATGATGCTCAAATTCGAGCATACTACATGCAGTCTCCCACGTGGGAAGACTTTGATTGATATACGAGGCCACGGTATCGTATTCCGCCGGGAGTCCTCTAACAAGCTGAAGAACAAGTCTTTGATCATTAACCAGACAATCCACGTCGTTGAGTTGGCTGCCCAATTCTTTGAGT